CAGTGTTCTCTTCATTATTAAACAGACCAGTGCTCTCTTCATTATTAAACAGAGCAGTGTTCTATTCATTATGAGTATAAAAAACAGATCAGTGTTCTATTCATTATGAGTAAATTAAACAGACCACTTTTCTCTTCATTATTATTCAGAACAGTGTTCTCTTCATTATTAAACAGACCAGTGCTCTCTTCATTATTAAACAGAGCAGTGTTCTATTCATTATGAGTATAAAAAACAGATCAGTGTTCTATTCATTATGAGTAAATTAAACAGACCACTTTTCTCTTCATTATGAGTATATTATTTATTAAACAGACCAGTGTTCTCTGCATTATGAGTAAATCAAATAGACCAGTGTTCTCTTCATTATGAGTATATTAAACAGACCAGTGCTCTCTTCATTATTAAACAGACCAGTGTTCTCTTCATTAATAAACAGACCAGTGTTCTCTTCATTATGAGTATATTAAACAGACCAGTGCTCTCTTCATTATTAAACAGACCAGTGTTCACTTCATTATTAAACAGAGCAGTGTTCTCTTCATTATGAGTACCGGTATATTAAACAGACCAGTGTTCTCTTCATTATTAAACAGACCAGTGTTCTCTTCATTATAAAACAGACCAGTGCTCTCTTCATTATTAAACAGACCAGTGTTCTCTTCATTATTAAACAGACCAGTGTTCACTTCATTATTAAACAGACCAGTGTTCTCTTCATTATTAAACAGACCAGTGTTCACTTCATTATTAAACAGAGCAGTGTTCTCTTCATTATTAAACAGACCAGTGTTCTCTTCATTATTAAACAGACCAGTGTTCACTTCATTATTAAACAGAGCAGTGTTCTCTTCATTATGAGTACCGGTATATTAAACAGACCAGTGTTCTCTTCATTATGAGTATATTAAACAGACCAGTGTTCTCTTCATTATTAAACAGACCAGTGTTCTCTTCATTATTAAACAGACCAGTGTTCTCTTCATTATTAAACAGACCAGTGTTCTCTTCGTTATTAAACAGACCAGTGTTCTCTTCATTATTAAACAGACCAGTGTTCTCTTCATTATTAAACAGACCAGTGTTCTCTTCATTATTAAGTAAATTTTAAACAGACCAGTGTTCTCTTCATTATTAAACAGACCAGTGTTCTCTTCATTATTAAACAGACCAGTGTTCTCTTCATTATTAAACAGACCAGTGTTCTCTTCATTATTAAACAGACCAGTGTTCTCTTCATTTTGAGTATTGATCATAAAAGTGTTCAAAGCAAGCTTCCAAAAATGTTTGTAATTTTTCTCTCTTTTTTCTTCTTTTTTTTTTACGGACATCCTAAAGTTGTTAATGTCATTTACCGAAAAGTCATTTCAGATCAAATTTTACAGACTCTTTGTAACATCAAATTGAAAATTGCAAATTTTACAGAGTTCGCTGGAGAAGTACAAGAGCAGAATGCCACCATAACCGAGTGCCTTGGGTATAGGATGTGACAAGAGCAGGACGCCACCAGAACCGAGTGCCTTGGGTATAGGATGTGACAAGAGCAGGACGCCACCAGAACCGAGTGCCTTGGGTATAGGATGTGACAAGAGCAGGACGCCACCAGAACCGAGTGCCTCGGGTATAGGATGTGACAAGAGCAGGACGCCACCAGAACCGAGTGCCTCGGGTATAGGATGTGACAAGAGCAGGACGCCGTGACCAGAGCTTCTTGTGCGTTTTTCCATAAGTTTAGTGACGCTTTAAGCGAGTCATGATTTAGTTGCGTTCACTTCAGTAAAAAAAAATATAATCATTTAGCAACCCTTAAAATCAAAGTTTTCCCCCTAAATCCTCTATAGGCACAGGGCCAGTCAATTTTTTAATTTTTTATTTCTTTTTTTTTTTTTCTATATATATATATTTTTTTTTTTTTCATTTATGTAATTGTACGTGATTTATCATTTACGTGGCTGTAGCAACTGATTATTATTTTTTTTTTTGGTATAGACATGGTTTTAATCAAACTTGGCGCATGTAAAACCTAATAGACTAAAGCTTTATTTAAACCCAAATGCGTCACAAATACAAAGCACATATCAAGGGCTACGCAATTAATCTCGACACCAAAACACACAACCATTGAACAAATCATTAATATTCCTCCCCCTTTTAAAACAGAACAGATGTTTAGGGGTTAGGGTGGGACTGAAAATTGTATCGAATGTTTTGTCATCGGCCACGAGTCTATATGCCAAGTTTCAGCTCGATAGGATGACGTGAAGTGGGTCAATTAGCCGTAACCTTACGAAGATTTTGCCGCCCCAAAGAAAGAAAGAAAGAAACACATGAAAAAGAGCGAAGTTAAAATTAAGGATTTAAAAAGATGTTCCTATTTCAATTTCCGTTTATATATTCTTGTTATAAATGAACTCCAAAAGTCTGTTTTTTTGTTTGTAATAATAATTTTCATCATCGTGTATGTTCCTTCTTTTGCCCAATGGCCAAAGGGGCGCCGGCCCATGCGACAAAGTAAAAAGATGGTTCAATATTTGAACTTTTAACATTCATAACTGAATGGGAATAACATGATTATAACACAAATTCTACTTGATTTTTTTAGATTCATATCAATGGGGGGGGGGGGGAAAGGAGGAGGATAATTAAAACTTGTTGACGAGAGTTATTCCCCTTTATGAAGTACTGTATCCATCTTGTGATTCGCATTTATAATATCAATGTTGGAATATGCCGATAATATCGTGGGTTAAAATTGGGAAACTCGCCGTCTATTGAATTTCAAATCAAATTAAATTGCAAAATTCTTTCAATTTTCATTAAAGATATGTAAACCATGATGCCACGAAAAGAGGCATGAGGGCCTGTGCCAGTGGGACCACGCCTTAAGACGCCACTGCCCCCCCCCCTTCCACCCCCACCAAAAAAAAAAAAAATTCCTCGCATTGTGTTAGTAATTATTTCTCGCGATCTGTGTGTCTGTGGATTTGTTTAAGTTAAGAGTAGCTTTTCCAAATGAAAAGAGGCATGAGGGCCTTTGCCAGTGGGACCACGCCTTAAGACGCCCATGCCCCCCCCCCTTCCACCCCCACCAAAAAAAAAAAAATTCCTCGCATTGTGTTAGTAATTATTTCTCGCGATCTGTGTGTCTGTGGATTTGTTTAAGTTAAGAGTAGCTTTTCCAAAATGAAACTTTTAAAAGCATTAAAAATCTAGACTACTTGAGATCTAATAGAAAGTCTTGCGATTTCTTGGTCAATTTCTTCAAATTTGTGCCCTCCCCCCACCCCAATTTTACCTTCCTGATTTCCATCTCTGACTTTGATTGGTTCTTCATCTTTAATTATTATTTACTCTTCGGCTCTCTAAGACTACTCAGAGGCATAAACCCGTTCAGCATTATCTACTGATGTACCAGTCTCAATTTTTTTTAAAGATCAGGGTGTTTTTTTTAAAACTTTACAACTTAATTTCACTTTCTACGTTAATAGTCAATTTTAATAGATTCTGCACACATCTGTTGGATTGTCCCATCAACACATATTGTCCCATCTGCTTAATTTTGTGTGCCACTCTTATGCTACCCCATATCTTGTTTATAAATAGAATAGCCCTATAGGCCTATTAAATAGTGAGTTTTGCTTTGTCTTACAGTTAGGCCTACTACAGTTTGGTAAAAAAATATTCAAACTAAAATACTATTTCATTACTTAAAATAATTATAGTGAGGTAACCAGTTAGTGATGTACCCTGCACAGCATAGCTCTTTCTACATCGGGATGTCACAACATATTCATCCTTTCACATAAATGGGCTACATCAGGATGTCAGAGCACAGTCGTGGATTACATTTTTTCATTTAAAATACTTAACAAAATAAAAATGTGAAGGTTTTGCAAGTTTAATTGCCAAAAGTAATTTGTACACAGCACAAATTTTGCTACATTATAGTACATTACACCAAAACAACTAGGCATACAAGAAAGATTAAGAGGGAATAATCAGATGAATTGACTTGTTTCAGTTTCCTTGATAATAAAGATAGATATTCTTATCACTAAGCTAACACACCAAAGAATATGGCATTATAGTTCAACAATTGAATAGATGATGACCTGCTAGCTGAGTGTCAGACTTGTCCATTATGCTATAAATCATCACTTGACATGACACTGGGCAAAACATGACATACAAATAGTGTAAAGTTGCATGGTATGACAAAAGAAAAAAAAAGAAAAACAGCACATAAGTTGTGGTAAGTTGTAAAACATGACAAGATGTGACAAATACATAACATGCTATGACAACTGCCAACGGGTTGGGGAAACATTCATGTCACGAAGAGAGGGAAATGGGCAACTTCAGATCATATTCAATTCTTGGGGACAACATATTTTTAAATTGAATTTTCAAAATAACTCGAAAAAGAAGACAATAATTTAATTAATCAACTGTTATGCCAGCTTTAAAATCTTGGTAACAAGAACACAGTTTTAGGGTGTATGTGTGAACAATTTGAGGAAATGAGATGCGGAGAACAAGATCCAATGCCAAGTAATTTAAGAACAAACATAAAGAGACCCAAGCCACAATTTGAGGTCAAAAACATGAATTCAGCAATAAACTGACCACAATTTGAGGTCCAATAGCATGAATTCAGTACAAATATACCACAATTTGTGGTTCATTAGCATGAATTCTGTATATATATATATATATATATATATATATATACCACAATGTGTGGCCCAATATAAATAATTCAATACAAATAAAACACAATGTTTTATCAAATAACATAAATTCAGAACAAACAAAACAAACAAGACATNAAGCACTCAATGAGTAAAGATAAGATGGACCCCTGCCGTCGTTCAAATATTCCCATTCTTCTGATACAGATAAAAATCTGCACTCTACTCATTCATTTCACAATTGGTATTTATAAAACCAAATACCTATATATAATATACTACCAATGCTAGGAATATATCAACAAGAGCAAAGGTCCTTTTCAGAGAATAAATGAGTATCATTGGCTTAAGAAAAAAAAAAACTACATTTTGTTACAAAATAGTCTTTACTGTAAGGGGCAGATACTGCCTCTCTATATGTCATCAAATGTTAACCAAAAAAAAAAAAAAACCAAACAACTAAATCCATGGCAATATCAATGTTTGCATGGGAGAATAAGAACAGTGGTTCATTTCTAGCATTTCCAATATTTCTCTAGGTTTAGGAGATATTCAATGGTTCTCCTACAAATACTTCAATTTTTCATTCCTCCACCTCTGAATGGTGAATGTTTTGTGTCAATCTGTAACACTTTGTGATGCAGTATAAAATAAGCACATTAGTAAAGATCAAGAGCAATAGTCTCGCATTTCTGGACTTTTTAAATGGTGATGGGACTGGACTTAAAAAAATAGAATTAGCATTTTTTGTGTGACTAATTGAAAGGAGCATCAGTGACAGTCAGAAATGAGACAATGTCAGTGAGATTACCAGACAATACAGTTTATGGAAAATTCCTTAGCACATTATACAGAAAATATCCCACAACTGATACACAGCAGTGTATAATGAAGAGATTTTTTGATACATAGTAAAGACTCAGATTTTAAAAATACCTGTGTTTCCTCACTATGTCATGGCACTCCATTGGAATTTGAAGTAATGACTTAAAAAACTAGCAATACCTTCCAAAAATGTAATATTCTCTGATGGAATATTTTGAGCTGATATATATAAAAACAACATTAGAAAACCAAAATTTACCCTGCATTACAGCCTTTATTACAACTCAAAGGCTGTCATACGACACATGACATTTTAATATAACGTAATATTTTAAACACTGTAACAGTTCTTGTATATTAAAATAATGGGATATTTCTCTTTTTAAACAAAGCGAAGAATCTTTTCTTAAATGTCTAAGCAATGTAATGTAATAGATGCTTAGTGCTGTGCTACATTATACAAAAAATATTTTCATCCAAACAAAGCCAAAGGCAGTAAATGGTAACCTAGACGGTAACAACTGAATGTGGTGTTGTGATGTCTTGTCAACAACATACAGTATGTGCTGTCACTTCCATTTCACCATGTCTATAACAGTACAAGAGAAATATGGTACAGTCTGAAGGGAAAAGCTGAGTCTGATACTTTGTAAAAAAGCTGCATGCTAAAAGAAAATAACAATAGATAGACATGGAGTGAATTCCACATTTCAATAATAAAAAGAAAAAGAAACAAATATGCTCATGTCTACCACCACCAGTGGCTGATTATGTTTCTTTGCCTCACAACAGATACTGTTGGCTCAAGGCTGAAGAAATAAGCAAGGAAAGAACATGAAGAAAACAAAATTTGTAAATCTAATGGTTTTTTCATGAATTATACAATGTTATTACAGGGGTATGCTTTTTCAAAAACAAAACAAAATATACATATATTAGAGAATTGGTGGCTATTGCTGGGGATTTGAGCAGTTGACAAACAATGTGACCGGAGTGATCAGTCTACATCAGCAGTATTCAAATATTAAACTTGCCAGTCCCATCTGTTATAACAAATATATTGCAGGTCTAACACTTTATTTTTGGTAAAAAATTTGAGGTTGCTAGTGTTTTATAAAGTTTAGTCCACTTGTCCTAAAGAAATATGCAGGAACTTGGTAACAAGACAGCCCTAGCTTGAATACCACTGGTCCTAGTTTTGGACAGCCCTAGTATGACTATTACTGGACCTAGTTTGAATACTACTGATGCATGCAGTCAGGAGAAGCTAAAAAAAAATCATGTACAGCGTGATTTAGGTATTAAATAAAATGTTATATATTAAAAGCATAAGAAAAATGATAAATCATAGCAATAGCTTTATCTGAAAATCACCAGTACTCTACCTGTAAATGAACCATTTTACAAATTACAGCATAAGAAGAGACTTTTTAAAAATGAAATTTTTCTATTTTTTTAAAATCAACCAGAAATATATTGCTTCAAGTCGTAACATAAATCTTCAATATGAAGACATTTAATGTGGTCAAAACTGTTTCAGAATGAAAAACCTTAAAAAATAAAACCTCCCTTTACTTTGTGCAGGCCCTCCATGGCCTTGTGATGAAAGTCAATTGAGCTGATTATGAAATAAACCAGTTTATCTAAAGATTGCACAGGGTTTAATTGTAACACAATTCTTTGTCCACCTGTTAGGCTAATGTATAGATCAGAAATAACTTGATTAAACATGTTTTCACAGGGTCATATTTCATGACATTATCTACAAATGTTGAAGACAACCTTGCGTAATGATCGGTCCTATGAGACCAGACTCACATCATATCCATAGGTTGTAGTAAGTACTTAACTGAGTCATGGAGATGGCCACACATCCTTTCACATTTTACCTCCTGAAAATAGAACACAAATGTAATTGATTTAGAATTTGATATTTAAGGACAATTTTTCAACATTTTAAAACCCCATGTTGCGGATCAGCATTAGTCAAATTTTCCTTTATATCCACACAATGCCCATTGATATCCATAAAACATTAGCAACAATACAAAATTCATGAACAAATCCCTTAAGCTGCAAAGGCTTTATATTGATTTTCTTTCCTTTGTATATAGTTAACCAAAAAATTTAAAAATTAAATCCTTTGAAAATCATCAAATTTGCTATTTTTTTAATAATTGGAAAACTGACACATCTATCACAGTTCATGGAGATAATATCACAACCTTTTTTAATACAACTACAAAATTAAGAAAGTTGCAATGGCAATTTTTGATTTAAAAGCTGCTTTTAATAGCTCATATCATTTTAAAATAAAACAAGCAATATAATAAGATAATATTTTTATAAGATTAATTCCTCCCCAAAAAAACAGCTTCTGCTAATAACAAGTTTTTCTTCTTTGCATAAAATAAACTATTTTCGCCTGTACAGGGCTAAAAGAATGTGAATGAAAGGGTTATTTGCTTGACGTGCTACATAAATCAAAAGTGCTAATATATGTTTCATAAATTTAGCCAGATATTGGCTTGACTCCATTTTGAATATATACTATATTTAATGGATAGAGTAAGCCCTAGGGGTAAAAACTTTTTTCAATTAATTCTTTTTAGTCAATTACATAAAAGACTGAAATAGTGATGTGAGTATGAGATATTTGGTGTTGCATGTACAACTCTTAGGAGTGAAATGAATATGACTCACCACCTTGCCTTGACCTGTTGTACTCATCCATAAAACATTGGGCTGCCATGTGTTGTGGTACCAGTCTTTCACCACTCTTCATATTCTAGATGAAATATAGACAAATGAGGTTGTTGTTTTTTTTTAAATGTCTAGGACAGGTTTTATAAACTTGCTTTCAAAATATTTTATAACAATTTTTTACAATATGAGCCTACCTTCATACTCTCAGTCATAGGAACAAATCCATTTGAGGACTTCTTGTTATCACATCTAATAGATTCTATAACTGGAGGATATGGCATGGCTCTTGGTCCAGGTGTATTCTGGGATGATGCCATTACTGCTTCATGTATCATTTTTCGTACTGGTTCAGGATCTCGACCGGTTTTCTGCAAAAGTTCAAGGATAAAATGACATTATACCCTAATTAAAGCAAAAATAAAACATCACAAAAATAATGTGCAACATTTTCTGATACACACAACTCTATAACAGCTTTTTTTAATGAGAGTACTCACCATTGAGATCTCATATTCAATGGCCTGTAATTCATAAGCCAACTTCTCATTGTGAGACATAGCGTCTTCACTGCCTTTTTTTGTGTAAGCTAAGTTGTGGTATGACATCTGTGGGGGTTTGCTGAAAACAAGTAATGGTCATGTTAACTTTACTGCCCAAAAGTAGTTAACAGCATTTAGATTATCACACCGAGTAAGTATTTTACATTCTTGTCTTTCAAAAGATAAGAAACAGGAAAAGTGTGTCACTTTCGCTTCCTTTAGCTATAAACCTTGAAGGATAGACATAGTGATACAGGACAACCGCTTCAGGCAATTTCAATCATTAACATGAACTCCATGTGTTACACAAATGTCAAATCAATGGCACTCACTTCCATACAGATGGTATCTCACTGGGGGTAGGTTTAACTGTTAGATCCACACCTTCCATGAGGGATGGAGTGGGGAACCTACTGGGGACTGCGATTGATGTGGACACTGGCCTGTCCATAGGAGTCACAGCTAGAACTGGGGTCATCTGTTTGAATGACTGAAATAGAAAATAATACCGTAAATAATGAATACAGCTTCATTTCCAGGCTTCAGCTAAGGTGTGTCATGTTCTGTTTTAATCATTTTTACAACAATGTTGTTGTTGTTTTGTTTGTTTTTTTTGGGGGGGGGGGTTATTTTGTCTTTCTTAATAGGAGCAAAGTTAATTTAAAATGAAAACTTTGCACAAGTTCAGTTAAATTAATCTGAGAGACAGTGCAAATTCTTCCCCATGGCCTCAGGCAGAAGGGTACATTAGAAAATGGCTGCTAGGACGGTATGATGATGAAGTACTCTCAGGGTAAAAAACCCATTAATGTACACACAAGTAGAATCAACAGTTTTAACAGATACAGTGCTTTCAGATATGTTAGATGACTTGTTTGTTAGTGTTTAAAATACTTACATCAGCAGTGACCTGCACTGGGGCCGAGTTGTGCAGCTTGACTCTACTCATGCGAGAGATGGGCCCAAACTTTGACACTGATGTGTGCTCAAATGGTATAAAACTCTCGTCTCCATCATCCCCTGGGAAACTGTAGAGATAAATTCAGTTTGATCAATAACAGATGCTGAGCACAAAGGCAAAGTCTTTCACAGAAGGGATAGAGTTGCAGATCTTCTTCATTCAAAGACTTTGGTCAGCTTTACAACCATAGTGGATTTGGATTGATCAATCCATCAAATATTTAAACACTGCATTTTTAAAACATTTTTTTTAGTATCCTACAAATCTGTTAAAAAAACGTTCTGTTATTTTTTGTGTTCTCACGATTGATATTCAAATATTCCCCCAATTTAAGCTATTAACAGATACAGATGTTTAAGTAAGCAGTACTGTTGAGAATAATTGATATCATTTTCTCAATGAAATGTACTCTGTACTTTTCTCAATGAATTTTACTCAATGATAAAACTTTTCTCAATGAATTGTACTTAATGAGGTAGTATTGTTGAGAATCACTGTGATGCCCTTTCTCAATGAATTATAATTTCTGATATCCTTTTCTCAATGAATTTTTGCAAGTAATTACACAAGACAAAGGGTTCTTCTTGTTAGCTATGATTTTTTAAATTGTGGAGTAATGTCAGTCTGGCATCCAACTTTTCTAGTTTGTGTCATACATCTGGATGTCCAAACAAGTAGCACAATAGAATAACCATAAGGAGCATACATAAGCAAGGAGTAATTTTTAATCATATTTCCCTAAGAGTTAGGACTCTAGTTTTAACTTTCAGAAGGCAAACTTATTAAATTTAAAACATTTTGAAACTTTTGGCACCATATTTTTTAAATATTATTTATGCTGTTTATCATATTAGCTAAAATTATGTCAATAAAAAAAAATATTACAATTTTTTAAAATTAGTTGATATAAATTACGAAAGACCATTCCTTAATAATCACTAAGATCCAAGCTGCTTTATTTGAGAAATTTCATGAATAACAAAGTAGCTTTAGTGAAAAAATATTGTTACATTCACGGACTTTCTGAGAGTAATGAAATTATATAATTAAAGACAAGTACAATGCCGAGTCCCAGTGGGGGGCCATCTAGCCCACATTAAGAATCACTGATATAAAATAATATGTGTTATTTGTGACCTTAGTAATGAATTATTTCTTAAAATTACAACCAAAAGAGAAAGATTTCTTCTAATAAATACCAGATCTCCCATCTATATGAGCATAAACAAAAATATTTTGGGGGAATAATCTTAACTCCAATACTTAACTTTTACAACATTCAACAAGTAAACCATATAAATTAAATCCAAATAACCTAACAGTATGTCCCTTTAACTTTTGTCAACCCAACTAATACTGTTATATTATTTCTCAGCTTTTACCATAAATGACTCTCCGGAAAGCTAATGCTGTAGCGTAGAGCATCAACAAACCTGCTAAACTCAGAATCTCCTACAGATGTTGAGGGGGGAAGATTCTGGGCTTCAGAGCTGACCACCAAGTCTTCTAATGAGTTGTAAAGCTTGGGGTTAACAGCCTTAACAGAGAAGCCAAAAAAATCCATGTTACAAGATATGTTATTATACGCTGCAAACTTCTTCTACTTTTACTAGAATTAAAATTGCACTAGAATTAACTTAAAAATGGAAATGCATGATATTGCTTTATACACATTTCATTTGAACTTTAGTAGCTGTCTTTAAATGAGCTGCTCTTGAACACCATTAAAAATGAATCATAGATATTATGTTCTAATTTAAATTGTAATACTATTAGTAGAGCAAAGCACTAACTGAAGCACCTAGTACAAGTGTGCATTAGAAAATGTTTTGTAAAATATCACTCACAGGGATATATAAAAACAAGTGCTAGAAGAGCTTGAAAGCTTTGTCAAGTCAACAATTTGGAACGCACTTCCAGTCGCTCTCAGAAACAGCCAGACACTGGAGTCCTTTAAAACCGATTTAAAAACACATCTATTTCGCAAACACCTTCTGGGGTGATGCTATCTACCATCTTCTTCAGTTAATGTATATTGGCTTGTGTTGCTTATGGTTGAAACGGGATGAAAGACTTTGACTGGGTATGCCCGTATGTAGCTTTATATTGTTGCGTCTGCTTTTAAATGTGGTAAATTTTAGATTGTTTTTATTTCTCTTTTTAATATGGTTGACTTTGTACAGCGCTTCGAGCTTTTGGGGATGAAGCGTGTTTTTCAAATAAACTTTATAAATTATTTTTAGACCTTTACTATAAATAGATCTGAACATCACTATATCTCATAGAATATAGTGGACCATTGATAAATTTGGCATTGAGATCAGAACTTAATTTTTAGCTCACAGATCACAGAATTACAACTTCTTATGCAACTAAACTTATTCTGTAAAAAAAGGTATGACCTGTCCATCTCATCTAAAATGCCTCTAATGGACCTGGACACTGCCCACTTCAATATTGCCAACACTAGAGTCTATGAACTGTACCAACAGGACTCCTTACCATGTCATAAATGTTGGCTGTGCTGGTTGCTACTGCCATTGAGAATGAAATGCTGTTAGTGGTGCTGCTGTCAGGCAAAGGTCCCCGAGTGGAAGAAAGCTCATATTGTAGATCATTGGTTAAGGGTAATCCAATATCTTCCCCATTTGACCATCTATTGGGGTACTGGCTCATATCATCATTCACTGTTAAGTTCAGACAAATGTCAATTTTAGAAATTGGAAGCGAAACAGGTGTATAAAAGTTCAATCCTAGGATAAAATTTTTAATAAATCTTTACCTAACAGTATATTTTTATCTGATTTTTATGTCTGTAATATTGCATAATAGCAAATATTTTGAATGCAACTACCTAAAATTATTTTAACAATCAAACAATTTATCATTAATAAATGTTAAGTTCTTCCTACAAATAACTGTGTATGAAAAAATTCAAAAGAAAACAAATATATTAATATCATGAGTGGGAATATCTTCAAATGATGTAAGCAGGAATATTTATGTTCTCTAATCCTGGAAAACTTTACTACCACTTACTAACTACTATTTTAATGTTCAAATTTGTTACAAAAATTAACATTTCAAAAAGACTTACTGAGTTCGTCAAGGGACTGTGTTGTTCGTGTAGCCACAAACATGTCAGAGACATGTGACGGCATGGCCTCTCTAGTTTTCTTGTTATTACCAAGAACTGTCTTCAGTCCTGCTAGTCCTGTTGTAAAACCGCCTGAACTGATTGAGGCCACACCAGGGTCCATGAGCACTTGTTCATCCTGAAAGTGGGAGATGATTTCTTGTTTGCGCTGTGTCAAATCCTCTAAAGTACCACCCTGTAGTAATATGGAGAAGGAAAATAGTTTAATTTCCATAATTAGAACTGTAAATCCATCTACCTGCTTTCTCTTAAAATTCTCCTCTGCAGAAACTTCTACTATGCTTGATCGAGAATTTACTTTATCCTGAAATATTCATAACAAAGGCAGATTCGGACAAGAAAGATAAGAAGAAAATTTCATTTCAAGAAGAATGAGATATATTGTAAGCACTCCACTAGAGAATTTTTCTTCTCATTCTACAAAATAAAAAAATGTTGAGATTTTAAACAATGATAATGATCTCATTTTAAAATTTTGTTTGAGAAATATCAATAAAAATGTGCCTATCACAACAGTTTAGCTCTTTCCAAATTGGCTGACCGAAAATCAAAATATTAACTTTTCTACCTATACTTCCCAGTTATAAACATTATCTCAACTCTATAAAAGTTCATATGATAAGACTTAATTTCAAGGGCAGAGTAAGAGTAGAGTAAAGACTCATAACAAAAAAACAAAGGTACAATTCAAAGGGCCTTGTTCAAGCTAAATCTCATGAAGTTTCTGTATCTTTAGCGCTTTACAAGGAGAATTAGTTAAAACACAAATACCTGTTATTTTATAAACCCTTTTCAGAGTTAAAGTTTCCTGTGCTTTTAGGCGGCCACAACCAAAGCCTCATTTGGTGATTCCCCTCTGCATCATCAAGAATGATTACTCTGAAAGATTCTGAAACACCGCCATATTGTTAAGGCGGGCTATTAAGGGCTATACCAGAACAACCTACAGCTGAAGATTTTTTTTGTGAAACCAAATGAGACTAGATTTGTTGCAGCCCTGTTTTTGTTTTTTTATGGTTTGGTCGCTTTTGAAATACTTACTTTCAAGACGCAATGTTTGTACAGATAATGAGCCCACAGAATAAGAAGCTGTGTAACCAATATGAAAATATGCTTTAACTAAAGTGACTTTTTACTCAGCCTAGATGAATGACTTAAAATTAGAGGTTTAAAAAAAACAATGACAAAGAAGATTCTATATTATTTACAGCTCAAAATAATAATGTGCATAAAATTACAGTTGATAGCTTTAAAGTAAGACCCCACAGCTGATGTTGATAAAACCAGATGTACAGTAAGAGACAATGAAAACATATCACTTGATGGACAAGATCAAATTCTTGCAACTTCAGAATAATCTCATATACAAAAATATATCTCAGAATTATTATTCAGACAACAACTTCCAAATTAAAGGATTATAAAGCATCGCCTCTCAAATTAGAGTTTAGAAAGTACATTTTCTCATAGTATTTAATGCAGAAGTCTGATATAAAATTTTATATATACCAAGTTTAAAAAGGGCTATAAAAAATAATTAGCCAACTGAAAACTATGATCATAATTAATTTACTGCACTTTAACAAAAATATATTGTCATTTCTTGTACACAGGAAGAAAACCAATATGTTAAGTGACAGTGCAATATTCAACCCTCCATTTTACATACAACCATAAAAAAAGAGAAAATAATAAATCACATGACCAGTTATTGGTAAAGATATATCAGTTATATCAGTTTTAAAAACCTTGACTTGAGTAAGTTATATCATGAACATTTCAGAATAAAAACTGACCTGAACACCATAGGGTAGCACATAATGTCCAGGATGTGAACTTAAGTCACCACTAGTGACACAGGATCCATACAGAGGATCAACACCTGTCATGGCTGGGTCTACAAAGGATGGGCCGACGGGAGGTCTTGTACTAAAAGGTACAGATGAAGAGCTCAGTGGTGTAGCACATCGCACTAAGGGTGAGTTTGAGATCTGAGGTGCTGAATATCTTACATTTGTGCCCGATGGAAAAGACTGCATGGAAAATGGAGGTAAAGCTGAGCTGCCAGGGTAGGGGCTAGATGGTCTTGAAGTATTGATCTGTGGACTGTGAGGATATGATCCACTGGTGTGAGGATGGAAACAGGTGGGGGGAACTAACAAAGGATTGACTGGACATTCTGAAGCTGAAAAATAAAAACACAAAGCTATTATGTCTTTTTTTTTGTTATATATTTTAAATAAACATTTAAAAATATTCATCTGCCAAAACATGATAAAAACAAGAATGAGAAATCTTAGTAAAATTGTTAAATGAGATGGACAAGTCATAAAAATATTAACAGGCTGACTGCAAAAAGCCAATTTACACCTACCATCTAGAGATGGGTGACTAAACGTCATCCGGGTAGGTGTAATATGTGGAGAGGATGGTGGAATAAATGGTGGTTTCTCAGGGTCAAGTTTCTTTGTGCTCAGCCTGAAATCAATAGGCGCCATTGCTCCAGTACTTTGTACGTTAACTTTCTGATGTGTAATCAGCTTGGTTGGAACTGGTGTCATATTGTTCATTAGAGGAGCAATATCATGAGAAGGAAGGCTGTTGATAAAATATATAACATTAAGTTTTATTACAACTAACTAATATATGTGTAACTATTTTTGATCCAAGTAAACTATATTTACTGAAAATCATCAAGATGTTTAAAAAGTTAAAAGCATCCAAAAGACATTTTTATTTCATTTTATTGTTAAGTATCCTAACATTTATAGCCATGATTTCATTGCAAGCTATTAATTTAGCTTAAATGTGTAAAAAAATTGTCAAGAATAATAGTAAGATGGAGACCGACCAGGTTTATTAATAGGATATAAAAGCATAGGCATGGAGAAACCAAACAGATAAACAGATGACATAACAAAATCCAATTTTAAATGCATTGCCAACCCCTTACCTTGGATTCTGCTTTGGATTCATCAAATCCATAACAGATTTTGATTTGCCAGACAGACCTAAGGACTTGAACTGCACTTGCCTCAGCTGGTCATTTTCTGAAGGAGTCAATGAAGAAGACGTTTTTTCCGGAAGACCAGCCACACCCCTACTGCCATTCCTACGAGACCTTGAGCGATACCTGTTATATGTATGTTTATAAAAGAAAAAAGTTATTACTTCCAGAAGCCTGTTGAAAAATATCCATCAATCTAATAATCTGCATTATGAGATAAAAGATTTAATTTCATTCTCCTACACTTTTTGCACGTTTTTTAAGGACTTGTTGAATTATAATTTCAAGAAATAAACTAATTTATTCATTTTAAGTTCTGACGTTATACATTTTAATTTCCCAGTTTTAAAAGACATGGCACTTTTGGGCATTATATTTTTAAGCTTTTAGGTTAGTCATTCTTTAAACACTTATATACTTTTTATGTCATCTTATAATTCTTAACATAATGGCAATAGTTAAACATCCCCTATTATTTATGTATGTTAAAAAAGTACTCTTACCTCTCAAGCTCTTCCTGAGAATGTGCAAAAGTGCAAGTGTTGCCCCTGGGGCATGTTCCACGAGCTGAAAAGTCGCGACACATGGATGTCTTATAGCGGGTATTCTGGATAGGGGCCGTTTCCAGACGTGACCTATGATCAGGGTTTGACAGGAAGTCAACAAATGCAGTCATGACAGTGTTGAGAGATCTCATTATTGCTTCTAGATTTTCCCATGATGGGGCTGGGCAATCTGAAATAAATCATGAATCAATTTAAAAGAAATACTATCATTTGGATAAATTATTTTTTACGTGATGAAATGTAACATTCTAGTTTGAACTATTTCCAATATTTCTATAGATACCTGGACTGGGATCTATGTTTGAAAGAAATTCTAACTGAGGCTGAAGTTTTTGCAGACCACTATGGTCAACACTTCTTTGAAGAGTCAACATCAGCTCTGATATACTTTGTGCAAAGGATTGTGGGCTCTGGTGCTATTTTAAATAGGAAGAAAAAACAAAATTGGACACATTTATTTGCTAGGACCATATTTCAATATTAAAATGATTGTTTAGTTAACAGAAGTTTTGTCTCAAAATTAAATTATGACCAAACGAATTACAGCATAGTTTTTATTTAATTCTCAACAATCTACTTTTTTTTTTTTTAATGAACTATATGGGAAAAATTAAGTTAAAAAATTAATATTTTACATAAACTAATCTAAAATATTTATGACGAAACAAAACTGTAAATAAAATATACCTTGTCTATAATAGACTGCATGTGGGACTTGTGTGCTGGATCCCCATACAACAATGAGGACCATTGCTCTGGTGAGATTCTTAGCCCAGCCTCTATTGCAATCTGCACTATCTGTGAATCATGCTCTCTACGCAGGGACTCGTACTGACGAAACTCCTCCTTCAGTTGCATAAGAGAAGATTCTTCTTCACGTTTTAATACCTGATAAGAAAAATAAATTGATGGTTCGGTTAAAATGTTTCTGTTTGCTGCAATATAAAAGTGGTAAAAGAATTAAAGAGCCAAACAATTAGCTAATAATGTTATTATTTTAACAAAAGGTTTACAATTTGTTTTAAACAATATAAAAATGATATAAATACACTTATTATTCATCAGCTTTAGCCCACTATGGGATCCCTAGCTCCAACAAGTGTTACTATCCTCACTTAGAAATCAGTCATTGGATTAAGAACTTTTGATAGTGCTTCAGGTTGAAATGGAAATAAATGAATAGTTGTGTAGTAAAAAAAACTAATAGTTACCTTAAAACAGGATGCCCTGTACAAGAGCTGGACAACGTGACCTATAGCTGTTTTTGAAGCCTGCGGATAACGAGATTCCAACCTTTGAACCACAAAAAGCACCAGAACCTTGCGGGACAAAAAAGAGCCATCCTCTAGCGCCAATAAGATCAGTTTGAGAACTTCCTCTTGCATGGCTAAGGGAGAAACATTTATTATTTTTTAATAAACATTTTAAAAGTTCATCTAAGAACAACAATGAATAATTAACAGTATATTTAGACAAACAAATTTAAAGGAATTATTGAAGAGTGTTTACCAATACTAGGCCATTTCGTAAATTGAAGCAGTTTCAGACAATAAATAAATCAAAACAAAACTATAAATTATTCATACCTGGTCCAAGAAACTGACACCCTCTTGTCCTTACAGCAGCCCAAAGATTAGCAGACAATTGATGGGGATATTGTTGCAGAACAAGCAATTCAGAAACTATTCTTTCTCCAAGAGAACGTGCTATCCGAGAAGCCCTTGATCGCCCTTCCTCCTCAAGAAGCTGACAGTGAATCAGACTTATTAACTTGCGTTGCATTGGGCGACTTAGCACACATTTTGAGTTATTGTTGGCAGTAGCATTCCCCCCACTGCTTGTTGTGCTTTGGCTCCCCTTGTTAGGAATTGGTTCACTGCAGGTGGAGCTGTCATCATCAGATGTGTCTGAAGAAAAAAAAAAATTACAGTTCAGTTTTTCATATGTGGGTTACAACTCAAAGATTCTTGTGTGTGTGTTTCATAGGTGGGTGCATTAAAGTTTTTGTCGAATTGTTTTCCTCCTTTTAACATTTAAAATTAACTGACATTTTTTAGTAAGATTGCAAGTACATCTAAGTACGATTTGTTGGACAAGGATAAGAAAATTGAACTTTACTAACTTTCTGCAAGTGGTTTTAAGTGTACTGCCATTTCTTCAATACATTTCCTGGCTTGTTCATAAGACTTAGGATTATCTGAGACTTTTTTTACTGCTTCTTTCTCTTGCTCAGGCACTGCAGCGCCCACAAGATGCATAAGGGCAAAATTAGCTGGAAGTTTATCAACATCACTGGGCAAAACTATCTGATCAAAGGGGCATCTAAATTATGGGAAGAACAAAAATTGAATCAATTGAAAACACATACTTAAAAATTTGTAATTTTCTTTCTCTTACTTTAACAATTTCATTTTGTGAATTAAAATTAGTTTGTGTAAAACAATGACAATTGATTATGGTAAGAGAGGCCAACCATATATGATGTCACGCCACTATTGCCAAATTCTGGGCCCCACTCTCGCCCATCATCACAAATAGATCACAATTTCATAATACATTGTTAATAAAATTGTGACCCCTCTAAACCCCCTACAGCAGGCCTGCACAACTCAAAATGTAAGGCAGGCCGTAATACGCTATGAAAAACTTGTGCGGGCCGTAATACTTTATGAAAAGCTTGTGCGGGCCGAAAGATGATAGGACAGAGAAAGAGCTATTAAGAAAATAATAATAATAAATAATATTTCGTTACACGCGGGCCGCCAAGTGGGTCTGACGGGCCACATACAGCCTGTGGGCCGTATGTTGTGCATGCCTGCCCTATAGAATGTTATATATGGATGGCCACTCACTATTAATAGAAATTTTAAAATAAATTATTAATCTTAGGTTTACTAATAGTCTAAGTCAAACAAGGCAAATAAAATATCTTTAACAATTAAATTTTCATACATCTACCTGTTATCATTCAGCTTGCTTCTTATGCATGATTTGCACACAGTGTGTCCACATCCCAATGAGATAGGTCTCTGTTGACGCTCATTGAATAATTTAAAGCACACAGGACAAGAAATGAATTCCGTCCAAGGTAATCCTTGAAATGGCATTTTTAGATATTTATAATATCACTTTTACACTACACTATACACAGGTCTCTTCAAACTTAAGATTAAGATATGGTTAAAATGTCAAAATTGTCATCCTGACTAATTACACTACATTTAACGTCACATTTCAAAACAAATAAAAGTAACATCAATTATTTATTTTATCCACAGCTGCATCTTCTTTCGAACTTTAGGTGTGCCTGGTGAACTGGCACATTTAGAGAGCAATCCATGCGAGAACTGTAAAAAAGGATTAAAAAAAACATAATATTTTGACTTAATCTCTTCAAAAGTTAATAGGCAATCTATGTCAATGACTAAGACAAACAAGGTGACTACCAATGTGGATTTAAGACAAAACAGATCCACGAATTATCAGATTTTCACCATCAGATGCCTATTAGAGAAATTTTACGAATATCCCAGTACATCAACTCTTTGTGGAAGTTAAAATGGCCTTTGACAGCATCAAAAGAAAATATCTATATGAGACTCTGCAGGAGTTTGGCATACCCAACAAACTGACAAGACTGATACATGTAGCATTAAACAATTCAAACAAAAAAATCAAGTTTCAAGAATAATATTTAAGGGAATTTTAGATTAGACGAGGCCTACTAAGACAAGGAGACTCACTGTTTAACCTAACATTAGAGAATATAAGAAACATACATATTGACACCCGAGGAACAATAAAAGGATACTTTCTGAGAGGAGACCCAAGACCCACAACCAAAAGACACTCTCTACAATCAACCCTTTAAGAATCTTGCAAATGCTGATGACATAGCACTGCTAGGGAAAAGTATTAAAGTATTCAATCCTTTATTGAATTAGAAGATGCATCACAACTTGGGCTGGAAATTAACAACCAAAAAACAAAATACAAAACTATGATAAGAGAAGAGCAGACAGATGAAACCATTAAAATGAGAAACAACTATTTTTAAAATGTAAATCAATTCAAATACCTAGGATCTTAATTAAATGAAAGAAAAGAATTACTAACAGAAATAAAAGAAAGAAAATTGGCAGGAAACAGGGCATACTTCAGTAGTCATAAAATACTCAAAAGTAAAAACATTAAAAGAAAAACTAAGAAAATTGTAAACCTGTATTCAGACCAGTTGTAACATATGCAAGTGAAATGTGGGCCCTAACAAAAATGGCAGAAAACCTATTAAACACATGGGAGAGGAAAGTTCTCAGGAAAATACATGGACCAACACCGGAAGAATATGGATGGAGAATAAAAACCAAGCAGGAATTGTATTGTCTATATCAAGATCCCATGCTAGTAGCAAAAATAAAAAAGGGCAGGCTACGCTGGGCGGGTCATTTAGAAAGAATGCCAAATTACAGAGGAGTGAAAAGGGTGCACCACCAAAACCCAAGAGGAATACGGCTCATTGGTAGACCTAGGCTTAGATGGATGGATGAGGTGGAAAAAGATCTACAGCAACTGGGAAAAGAAAAGCATTAGTTAGGTCTGAGTGGAAGGAAGTGGTGAGACAGGCCAAAGCCCTACATTGGCTGTAGCAACTCAGGGATAGGATGGAAGTCAATGGCTAAGAGTAGAGCAGGGTCCCACCTTTTTCAAATTGTTTCACTAAGTTGTGCACCCTTTACACAAAAATGTAAAATTTATTTCCTAATTTGAAGAAAATGTATGGACTTGTGCCTTAGGAAAGTTATCTGATAGGCATTAGGGCTTGTAATGTAACTTGAAATAAGCTCCACTGTCATTATAATCACTTTTGGTAAATGTTGATTTGGAGCGCAAAACTATCAGCAAAATGTCATGGCAATCAAGTTATAAAAAGAAGTAGCACAAACACAAGTCTTCTTGATGCATATCTAGAGGGATACAATAAAACTGCTACAAATTTAATGTATTGACTGAAATAAAATTTTAACTTTTTGTTCCTATTTTCATTTCTCTCTGTAAATAGCTAAAACAGCATATGCTCTCTTTCCCCTCCTCATTTTAGCAGACGGGTCATGGCAGCAAAGATGGCAGCCATGGAAAATAAGTGGCGCAGATTTACCAAATTATGGGTAAATGTGCAGTTAACGGCAGGGGTTTTGCCAAGAGTTGTCTCACCCTAAGCGCAGTGACGTCAATTTGGCTAATCCCAACCAACACTAGACTTAGAGTGATTGAACCAACGATTGACCCTGAACGATGAGAATGATAACTTTCAAGATCTTCACTGAGCATTATTCGCATCAAAAACATAATCTGATGATCCATACTGTTAAAATGAAATCAATTAAAATGAAATTTTCCATTTTGTTTTTATTAAAATTCAACTTATGGACTTCAAAAGAAAGAAAAAGAGAGAAACTCATCCTCGCTGATAACCCAAGATGAAAACCAGAAAAAAAAGAGGTGCTATTTTTTTATTGGTTGAAAACGAAGCACCCATTCATTATCCATATTTATATGCTATTCATTTCGAAATCAAAACAGAACTATGGCCGGTAGTTGACCCGGGGAACCTCCATGACCTATATTTATATACCAGGGAAGATATCACTGGCCCTTCGACTAACTGCATTTTAGTTTTAGCCAAATTATCTTATTAATGCACTAATTAATTATTAATCTCTTTGCCTCTTTGGCTGTTTCAGATTTAGCGGCCCACGTTGACTTTGTTAAGGTTAGGCATAGGCATAGGGATTGATTTAGGGTTCGGGTTAGGCTTAGGGATAGATTTAGGGTTCGGGTTAGGCATAGGGATCGATTTAAGACGTAAAAGTGAGCTCATGGAAATAAACGCGGGCCGCGTTCTCTGAATTTACCATATCTTTTGATCCCCAGTTCCAATATTAGAATATAGAAGAAATGGATCAGTCCAGTTGTAAATTAGTAGGGACACTAGGGTTGTAACTATTAACTGTTGCTTGTTATTTCCTCAAGCTGATGGGAATTAATAGTACAGCCTAATTTTAGGCTAAATTAGCCCTTAGTAATTTATTAAGATTAAGAGTTTAGTGGCGCCTTCTTAACCTTATTTATACAATTATTCTACTATTTTTAATTTTTGTTTGCTGATTCTGAGGAATAAATGACCTATGAATGAGTAACATGACTTTGAATTTATGTAAACAACAAAATGAACATAGCTTGAGGCTTGAACTGAGCTTATTATTATTTTGAATCCTATCTACTCACCATAATTACTCATCAAATTGATTGTGCATAACAATTTTCTTAACAGTTAGTAATAGAATAAATAACCGGACGTATTTTCATAAACATGGATGGCAACTTTGGCAAATGACGGACGACAGACGGAGTTGATGCCAGGACGAAAAAATATATTTCCTGATACCGTTATATTTTGATAAATCTTATGTTGTGGGGCTAATATGATGTTGACTATGAAAATTGGGCGAGGCTTAATTGAATTTTTTTTTTAATTTAAAGCTTGATGCAACAATAACCTATTGCATCAAGAAAAAAAAACCTCAAAATTTTAAGATAGGAAAAAAGGAAATCAAGGAAGTGTTTCTTATTTTATTATGAGGACCAAACTGGCATACACAAGCAATAGGTATCGTAAAAAATTTTTGGAGGTTTTTATCTGAAATCGATATCGGTATTTATTTCATTTATTTTCAATGAGTAATCGCTTCTCTAATTTATCGTACTTGAAAATAAATGGTTTTGTTTCGGGTTCTAACCACTCTAAACTAGCCTAACTCGGCACTAATCAATAGAAAGAAATAAAACAGCTTCCATTCTATTTCATCGAGACTAGACCCCTTAAGGCTCTGTTACGTAGGCAACCCCTCAAACACAACCCAGCATAAAAGGCAAAAACATGAACAATACTTATCTGCTTCCGATATTCGACTGATACATGTCTTTAAAAATAAAACAAATATAAGTTACATATTTATGGTATTACATGCATGTGTTCTCTTTAAAGTTGCAGCCCTTGGGCGCCCATGATAAATAATAATTTTGATAAAGAGTGCACATAATTTAGCAAGGGGTTAAATGTTGAATATCTTGTGAACTTTTTTTTTTAACGCTAATTTAAGCAATTCATTATGTAGTTGGTTGGGTAACTAGATCATTTTATCGATTTTCCAACTACTAGTCTACTCATATTCAATTCATATAAGCCTATAAGCATTTTTTTCCGCGCCCGGCCAGAGTTTTTATTTTCGTCTCAGAAGATCAAGATGTTGCAATAGCCGAAAACGTGTTTTACACGATTTTTTAAAGCTTGCGCTTTGTCTGCTTGTATGGATCAAATCTTGAAACTCAATTTTGACACACTTCCTTATGTTCAATTTAGCTGAAACTGTGTACGTTTAGCAAGCACCTATGACAATACAACCCTTCATGATCAGTAGGTCACCCGCGTTCTCCACTGACCCTTGAGTGACCTCTTCGGGTCAAATTTTGAATCTTAACTTTGGCCCACGTCCTGATCTTCAATTGAGCTGAGACTCAGAACACGTTCCCACCACCGATGACAAAATAACCCTACATGATAGGTAGGTAAATGACCTCCACTGATCATTGAGTGACCACTGCTGAAAAAAATCTAGCATCTCAATTTTGACCCACTTCCTGATCTCAAGTTCAGCTAAAACTTTGAACGCTTTGAATACAAATTCCAAAATAAAACAGAGTTGTTACAGTCATACCACTATAAAAAAAAAAAAAAAAAAGAAAAAAAAAAAAAAAAGATGGGAACCCATAAAAAAAAAAAATAAAAATAACCGACAAAAAAAAAAAAAGTTGTTACAAACAAAACACAAAAAAAAAAAAAAAAAAGAAAAAAGAAGAAAAAAAAAAAAACGTGGGGCACCCATGAAATATACAATTAAAATGATCTGCTAAAAAAAAAATGGGTACCCTAGTTTTTTAATTTTTTTTAGTAGTGACTGAAACTACTCTGAAGTTTTATTTCATACATTTAAGGATCCAGGTTGCCTGTGCTAGCTATTGATGACGTTACATCCCGACATGAAAGTAATAAAATATGGCACTGTCATCGAAAATAAATAAAATAAATGTGTGCAAGTGTATAAATTCAAAATTTTCAGTTCAGTGAAGTTTTACACGATAATGTGTAATTTCTGTTTTTAAAAATTTGCGAGATTTCAATCTAGTAATGAGGTTTTGCCTACATGAGCAGGCCTGAAACTAATTAATTAGTTTCTATTTTTTTACCCAAAAAAAACCTACCTTTTATGAAACATAAATGGTACGGAGTGTTTTCAGGTACAAGAGTAACTGTCAACAGGCAGGCCCAATTGGTTCTGTAGGCCATTGGTCAGTCCAAAATTCCCAGTAGGCATTAGAGAGAGGACTTAAAAAGCTATGCTATGTAGTACATTTTACCCCCTTTTATTTAACTTGACTTAAGTAGGGTTTGTTTCTTTGATGTCATTGAGCTTCTTTCGCTGAGTGAATGGATGGGTGGGTGAGCTCAGATCTACTTTTTAATTTAATGCCTAGGTAAAGAATTTAGTCGGTTCAACCGGGATTTTGTAAGCATTTGAGGTTTTAAAAAAGTAATGATTGTTGATAATTTAAAGATTACAATTTTAATACTAAAAAGTAGAAAATAACAAAAAATTATTTTGAAAACTTTTTAATACATACTTTCTATTAATGAAAGCAAGTTAAACAAATAAAAAGTAGAAAATAATTTACAATTTCTTGAAAATTCTGTGCAGAAAATATTTGTAAAAATTATAACACATTTAAGTTTCTTCTAGATCAGTGTTTCTCAACCTTCCCATTGCCACGATCCTTTAATACAGTTCCTCACGTTGTGACGACCCCAAACCACAAAATTATTTTAGTTGGTCTAAAGGTTGGACAATTTTTTTTTGTGAGAGCCAAATTGTCATGCTTCTAATTTCTAACCTGTTAATTTGTCCATAGGTAAATATTTTGTTCCATATTATTTTTTTGTTCATAAATTACAAGGTCTTACACTAATTGCGTTCTACCCAAAGTGATTTTGAGGACTGCATTTTCCCTACACTTGGATTATTTCAGTACAGACTGAGAAGTCAGGCATTGATTGGTCAGCCAGAGGTCAGCATCAAAATATTTGAACATTTAAAGATATCCCAGGGGATATTTTGTCCATCAGAACCAAAACACTTATCAAAAACATTGACATTTTTTTCTCCATATTTTTAATTATAATTATTAAAAAATGTTGTCATGTTTAGAGTTCTATATGTCCTGTTTATATTGTTCAGTAGTCTAAGGTAGGGGAATAACTGGAGTGGGATAGTATTTGTTGGATGCAATATGTTCTCGTAAGTACCCCTCCCCCATTTCATCATAGTCCTTCCTTGTGATGGAGCTGCTGGTGAAATAAGGAGACAAGGCAAACTTGCGGGCACCATTCCAGGCATCCAGGCTCGGGTTAGCTGTGAATGAAACATGGGTCACAAATATTCATCATGACACTGGCATGTGTATAAAAACAAATAGGCTTATATATATATTAAATAAATGAACTGAACCAATTTATGCTATACACCAAGTTTTTTCCTTTTAGCTGGGTATTGACAAGCTAACCTTTCTCATCAACTAGGGTTGAATGGGTTAAATGTGATTGATTATTAAATATTAACACTAACCGGCAGAGAATATCTTGTAAGAACTATGAAAGGGTCTCATCTGCAGAAGTTCCCTGTCGATCCTATCTTTGAAATTAAACAAGTTGGCATTTCCTCCTGTTAGGTAAACATGCTGGGAAATAAATTTAAAAAAAACGTACATGTCAAGTAAATATGTTAAAATATTTGGAAATGAAAAAATTAAAAAAACTAAGGGTTGTGGCCAAAATAACAAAAGTCCACAAAGGTATCAAATGTCAATATAACAAAGCAACGTTATAACAACATAACATAATTCGATTTTATATATAATTGCTAAAATAAGAATGGAGAATACAATAAAAATGAATTTGCAATAGGAATAAATACAGGCTAATCATGATTTCCCAAGATTCCTCACCTGAACAACTCTACTTTGCTTGCTTGGTTCTAATTTCCCCAATATAAACTCCATGGTTTCACTCAGTCCTGCTTGTTCAAGACCCAGCATAGAAGGCTGGAACAGGAGCTCTGGGACCCTGGAATGTAAGTCAAGTGGTCGTAGTGATATCATTAATAATTATTCAGGGATTAAAATGCTAGAAAACACAATAGTTTCAAAACAAAAGTGTTATTAGTAATAAGTTACTAAAAATAGTCCTTAGAACATGCAATGACGTTCGCTGTAATTATTTAGCCCAACAGTGCTTACCTTATTCTCTCCACCCCCAGATGAAGTCTGTAATATTCAGCCAGATCAAATTCCCCTGAAAGTCCACCCATGTCAAGGTCCCTGGTCCAAATAAAACAATACAATACAGTTAGAAATGATCTTACTATATTAAATAGCTGAAAATGTAGGTCATGTACCAAACTATATAACAACCTATAACTACAATATAATGATTTTAGGTGAGAGAGCTGTGGTCTGTTGCCCACCTGTGTAGTGCTACATCCCATGGAGGGCTTTCACTTGCTTCACCACTGCCAACCGATGTGTGGGTCTTGGAGTTAAATTTCGTTTAGTTGAACAACAATTTATTTATTTAGGCATTTTTATATAGCGCTTACCATAAAGCTCTAAGCGCTTTACAATTAGTAAAAACATGTAAACTAAATTAAAATTGATTTCAGTAAATATTCAATTATTAATTTAAAAAGAATAAACCAGTTTAAAGTTAGAATTGTTTACTTTTGAAACTCTGGATCATGCTCTTTCAGAATTGTCTCAAGTTCTTCTAATTTTTCTTCTTCTGCATCAGAGTCACTTGTGCCACCCTCTCTGTTCTGTAAATGAGATCAAAATACATCTTCTGACATAGTGTTATTACATCTCTTATGATGTCAGTAACATTCAAAAATATTTATTTTAATTTTTAAAATTTTAGTTTGTTGAATTTGAATATTTTATTTCTCATTCAAATATTATTTTATTTTAATTTTTTTTAATACCCATAATGAGAAATAAAATATTTAACAACAAAAATAAGCAAGGAGTTGATAAGGACAAAGATAATTATAAAAGATAATATGAACTTCTCTATTATTCAAGGCTGAGAAAAGTTTGGCTTCTAAATTTAATTATTTGTTCTTAATAACAAACAAACGATCATTTTGAAGCCTTTTATTTCTAATAATATTAATAATTGAAATGAATAAATAAAAATAAAGTTAAACACAATAAACTATATATAGCATATGTTATACTATCTTGAAATAAACAGATTTTGTTAAAAATATGCTACAGTTTAACCTGGTAATTAAGTATACACCTAGGATGGTTACCGGAAATTTGATCGAAAGAAATTTCGTCGACGGTAAATTGATCGACGGTAATTTGATCGAACGGAAATTTGGTCGAATCTTTTTTTTCCGTTCGCACGTTAAAATTTTCGTCAAATTTCTTTTTGAACGTACTATACTATTTAGTAAAACAAAATAATTCGTCCAAAACGAAATTTGATGCAAAACTGTAACGTAAAAATAGAAAATAAGATTCAACCAAATTTCCGTTCGATCATATTACCGTCGACCAATTTACCGTCGACGAAATTTCTTACGATCAAATTTCCGGATACGACCCAGGATATCTGACTTTAAGGAAATGCCCTGTGATTGAGCCCCAACGGCTGACAACACTTTGATATAACTGCCATCCATTCACCTGTGACTTCATTCATATTCATCCAGCATTCATATTTTTTTTCCTTTATCATTGTTGCATTGAATTGTCATCTTTTTCACTTTTAATTCCACTAAATAAATAAATCATCTTATTTATTCTTACTTAACTAAACAATATTAGATGGGTCAAAAATTTTAGATGACTTCTATGAGTGGTGAGCTGAAACTGAAATGCCTTGAAACCTTATTGCAGACTCAGCAGCCAATCAAAACAATGGCTTATTAAAATATAAAAAAGCAATTAAAATATAAACCAGGTGAGTCATCAATTTGAATACCTTAGAAAAAGGCAAAGTGGGATACCTGTAGATGACAGCTGGGCGCAGACAGTAAAATTTCTTTATGGCAGTCTACGTGCAAAGCGGAGTAAATCTCTAAATAAATCAATAATATTGATGGAAAAACTTACTATTTCTTTGTACACATCCCAATCTGCATCATTTTGACCAAAGTTGTCTCCCTTTTTTGATGGCTCTAATGGTCAGAAAATACATGTTGAGTTTGTGAGTAATTTGAGATGTATAATACATAAGTTGCGACATATTTCAAGATTAGCTGAAACATAACAAAGACTTCTATCTTTATCAAATGCAAAAGGACTCAAGATCAATTTTAACAAGTCATTTTTATTAAAGGTGACTGTTTAACACATTATCAACTTGCTGTATAGGCCAGGTGTCCTCAAACTATGGCCCACAGGCCAGATCTGGCCCACCAAGGGACCTAAGCCTGGCCCAACAAATATGGATCTGTAAAAATCAGGCCCATACTTACCATTCATTTACTAAAATGTTTATGTTGATTAAATTGTTCATATTAAATATTGTATTGTTCCTGATTTATTTTTGTTACAAATAAGATATATGTGCAGTGTGCATAGTAATAAGTTTGTATTGTTTTCAAATATAATCCAGTCTCCCCAACAGTGTCTGAGGAACAGTGAACCGGCCTCGAATGTGACTCAAGTTCCGTGAACCAACCCCTTGATAAAAAGTTTGAGGACCACTGGTATAGGCCAATACAAATGATAGATTAAAACCAGAAGAAAAAGACAATGAAATAAAAACTCACGTGCAGCCAACTGTGAAATTATTCTCATTCTCTGCTGTGATGCAAATGTTCTTCTTTTTGTCATGTCAGCCTTTTTTTGTCTCCTGGCATTTCGGGCATCTAGGATTTTCTATATGCAAGATATGTCAATATTGAAAGGCATAATAAAGATATATGCCAAGCATTAACAAATATGAAAGACTTCCATTACTTAAACTGAAAGGTTTTAAATATAAATTGCTGAAATTCTGGTGGCAAACCATTTGGTAATATAGTATCAAAGTAGGTTTTCTAATTCATTCAGTAAGCCAAGTTTACCTTATAAGTTGCTTTTTAATATTCATAAAAAAAAAAGATTTTATTATTCACCATACCATTTAAATTCAATCTCAATTCCAAATCTGCCACTTGCTGACCTCTAAAGAATGTTTAAGTTTATGTTACATTTACAAACCTGACGTTTTGCTCTGACTTCAGTCAACCAACCACTGAAATCAACTCTCCTTCTCTCTTCCAGTTTCTTTTCTTCTTCCCACTCCTAAATTTACATCAGACAAATATTTAGAAAAATAAATACAGATCAAAGTCATTATGTTAATATTTATAAGAATTCTCAAAATAAAAATGTTACATTGCCTTTAATTTTAAACAGCCAGTTAATTTTCTTAAAAATTTTTAAAGCACCAGAATAACGCAGTTAAAGAAAAAAAATTATCAAAAACCTTCAATCTTTTTTCTCTCTGAAGAGCCAGTGCTTTCTTTCTCCCTTCTCTGGCACTTTTAAGTATTTTCTGACGTTTTTTTATGGCAAGTTGATCTGGAGTCAGCATTTCATCTGGAATGTCTAGGAGTGGAAATGAGGGTTCTTTGCTCTGTTTATAAATCAAATATAGAGAAACTGAAGGATGAACACATTTAAAACTATTTTAATTATTGAAATTTGTCTGTCACTTAAAAAAAAATTATATAAACTTTTCCAATAAATTTTCTAGTACAGCTGGTTTTTTTGTTTTTTCCTCAAGTCATGTTTTTCTGACATGATTAGGAAAATGCATTAAGTCTTAAAATCAAGAACTTTGCTGCAAACTATGGTAGTTACATACATGACATGACAGCATGTGCCAAAATCATAATTACAGAGAAGATTCCAGGTTTTTTTTCAATCAAGAAAAATAATTCACATACATCTTGCTCAATTGGTGCTGGTTCTTGTCCCAGTATTTTTGCTTTAGCCCTCTGTATGCTCGCAGATAATCTGTCCACAGATTCTTGCAAATCTTCAACTCTCTGTAAGCCCACTTCTGCTAGGGCAGCCTGAGATCATAAAATTCAGAATCTTCAACATAATCAATAATTGTATAAAAATGTTCTTTAAATAAGATTTGTAATGTGAGTTCTGTTAGCTTAAATCATAATATACAGGTTTTCACAAACCAATCTTTGAAGCACCTACAGTGAATGCATCATCATCATCTCCTATTACAATCAGTTCCTGTACTTCCAACAACTTCTGAAGTTCAGCTTCATCAGCTTGTAACTAATAAATAACAAATATAAAAAGATTAATTTTTTCAAAAATTCAGTTGTCATTTGTCAAAAGAAAAACTATATTTAAAAGAAAATTAATTAACTAATGAAAAAAAAAACACCTCACTTTATCAAGTCTTCGTCTTGTATTAACTTCCTGTAGTCTAGAGATCTGTTGTTTACGTCTTTCTTTCTGCTGTTCGGCAGTTATCTGAGAACCTGGAGCCTGTTGCTGAAACAATCAAAAGCCAGAAATATTACAAATATAGAATAGATAATTTGGTTACCCCAAATTTGATTATTAATCAGCATACTTTTAAATAGAAATGCACTAAATTATACAACTGAATGTTAATGAATGTATGTTTTACATTTTAAACTGTGGCAAACAAGAAATACTATAAAATTACTAAAATAACACATATTATAAAAAATAATAATAAGGGGAGGGAGAGATTAGAATCAAGTATGGGAGAAGGTAATGTGTCAAACAAGATAAGGGAAAAACTGAAAAAAAAGGATGCGACAAAACAATGGATGTTTCAGCAAAGAAGCCTTCTTCAGCAAACACTAAAACAGAGTAATACAAATATAAAATTAAAAATAAAAACTTAGCTGAAATGTTGTATCTGAGAAGACAGCAAGAGGAATGTAGTAGACCATTAGTAGGTAGGAGGGTTAACGCTATCAGTATTGTAGCGCTGCCTTCAGCACCAAACAAAAGAAATAACTCTGTTTTGACCAAAAGTTGCTGACTTTGAAAATTGATTAAATTTCAATCTTTTATGAAGTCATAAAGAAAATTACTGATAATTGTAGAGAAATGATTAAATTTTAATTAAAATAATTCAACATTATAACCAATTACACCTAAGATTCTTCCATTTTAATTTAACGCAATTGCTTAAACCATTCAGATCTAACAACACCGTCTTCATCTGCTGACCCATCAGGAACATCAAAATGTTGAACTAATTCAATATCAAGATTACTTTTATTTCCATTATCTACTTCTGCATCTATTTCTGCATCCAATTCATTACTGTCGACACTAACAGCCAATGGATGTACTTGCAGTTTGAAGCAATCTTCAATAAACACCATTTAGCTTAGATATACTGTCAACAAAGCACTACATTTTTTTAATAAAAAGGAAATGACATTAAATTAAACGCACAGCCACCAAACCCCAACAAAACAAGTGCTTGAAACTTCCTGTTTATATGTAGGCCTTTTGTAACTCTTTAATTAGTAGAGTTACCTTTCATGTGATTTGTTTACGGTGGGATTTTGACATAATGTGACTAGGCATAAGGGTACAACCCGAATACAACATTTCAGGTAACTTTCAATTTTTATATTTTTGTTACTCTTTGTTTGTACCGTTGAAGAAGGCATCTTGCTGACAAGTTCGTTGTTTTGTTGCATCCTTTTTTAAGGTTTTACATATTTCCTTTAAAAAAAATTACCGAATTTTTCAATTAATATATAGATAAATCATATTCCTGGACTTGGTTAAAACACATTGAGAAAGAAAAGTTAATAATTATGTCATAGATATACTTCATTCTTCAGGAATCATAACATAGTATAAATGAAATTTATCATAATCATGGCTCCTTTTCATTACCTGTGCAAGAGGGAGCTGCATTTTCCTAACATTGCTGTCAAAATAATCATTGTCATCCCATTTGGCAAGCTCAGAGAGAAAGTCTGTGGCCAGGTAACAGTGGTCTTTGATCATCTCCTAAATTCAGTAAAATTGAATAGGTTTTAACTTCTACAAATGCATCAGAGTGCCCCATATAAAATTATAACCTTAAAAAAATACATACACAAAAAAATCATTTATAAAGCAAACAAGCGTGTTACATCTTCAAACAATGAATTATTTAATTTTTGAAAAACTGTACAAGATAATAATGTTTCTATAGAAATGGTAGAGAGATTAAGATAAAGCATTACAAACACTTTCTGATATGAAATTCAATAATAAATGACATTCAGTTAACTCTAAAAAAAAAATTTTTAAATGATGCTTTTATTTATGTATGTAATATCATGTTTTTTATCTCGAACCTCCACTCTGTTGATGGTGATAGCATTCAAGTGACCAGGATATTTTAATTGTAACAACCGCTGTAGGAACCAATCAATGTAGCCACCGCCGATGTTTATTCTACGGCACTGCTCTGGGTAGATTCTACCATCCAAAACAGGAATAATGTGGGTGGCCTGATAGCCACAGTCCACTATAAGAGCATCAGCAGTCTCTAGGAATAGAATTTATGATAGAACTGACACTATTATCATTATAACAATATTGTTTAACTTGATTTGAGTAAAATTATAAAAATATCCAACTATACTGAACATTTTTCATCAACATCATAGTTTTACTAAAGATTGCCTGATCTCAGAAATAAGACAACTTAAATTTGTTATTATTGCATGGCTGGTGCCTTAATTTGCTGACAATGCTTCTATACTTTAGGAACAATCTTAGGCGACTCGACTGCAACCGTGCTTATTTTTTCACATTTCTATCTTTTATAGAAGTGGAGTTATGATTTTTTATGTTTTATTTCAAATCCAGGGGTTTTAAATTTAAATGAGTAAAATGTCCCTTTGGACTGATAATCTTGTATTTTATCATGAGTAACAGCAGGTAAAATGTTTTTTTGGAATTCATAGTGTTCACCTAATTCACATCCACTATCCTGGAATCAAAGGATCTGCAATATTATCCCCCATCTTATAGGATGATGGGATCAAAGCAACAAACCAAAGACCAAAGTGGGCTACAGAAATTATGATTATACACATTAGCTGGAAACTCTTTTTGAGCGAAAAGTCCAGAATCTGATCCAAGTTCCAACATACACTCGTGAACCTAACAGCTATTCTGACCACACAATGAAGGTTTTGCTAAGGAACAATTTTGGGGAACAACAAAAACTCAAAGATTTTCAAGACTGAAAACAATATGTTCAATACTATCAAAACAGATTTCCATTTATTGAAATTAATAGAAGATTCTACTTATTCTTATCTTATTTTCTTGATGACAAAAATAAAAGTTTGTTTCTTAGCTTAGAGTAAATTACATTTGGATATGCCTAAATTCTTTTGAAATCTTTATTGACTTTGGCTTACCTGGTGCTGGATGGTTGTAAAAAAGACTAAACAGGGAATCTACACCATAGGCAATTTGAGGCACATGGTAGCATTCAAACAATAGCTCAGACATCACTGGGAGAAAGAGATTGATTTAATTTATTTCAATCAAATGATTTTAATTTTACTTAAATTTTATTAAATTCCTAACTATTTTCTTTAGTTTCCGGCAATTTATCACCAACCTAATACTAGGAATTAGAATTAAAGCAAGTCTCACAAATTGTGAACTACTGTATAGATTGCTTTAGGTGAGAGGTAATGGCCAACTATCAAGATTTATAGTATATGACATAAAAATGAACTATTTTTACAGATATATTAAATGATGACATATATATTTTAGGTAATGCACTAAATGAGCTGGACAAAATCCCCAATTGTTAACAAAATTCCATTCAATCAGAAAAAAATCAGATAACCATTATTTATCTTGTGCATAACTCTAGATATGTTGATAGTAAATGAATTAAATTCAAACAAATATTTTAAAATAATTTAAATGAAATTAAAATGCCAGAAAATTGGCCTAAAGTAGTGTTTGTAATCTTGCGTCAATGGCTGATCATAAAAGGTCTTTCATGTGCTTACACTGTCTAGTGTAGTTAGGATTACATACTGCCTCTGTAAGCACAATTGGGTGATCCACACATCCCTCTGTTGTAATCCCAAGATGTGAGAAAAGATAATCAAAAACTTGTTCCTAAATAAATAAAAACAGTTATGTTATTTAAATTTATTAGCAAAGAAGCACAGTAATAGAATCATAATTTGACTGTAAAGCCTAATGTCTCAGAACCTAACCTAGTAGTGATTAATCTTTCCAGCAGATTATGATAAATCTGTGGGACAGAATATGAAATGATGTTAGTTAAAATTGTTTGTTACTTTTTGTCAATAAAAAATATAACATTAATGTAAGTTTCAATTAACATTATTAATATCAGTGTAAAATTGTTAATTGGTTAATGGTAAATATTTATATAAAAATATCATCATCTTATAACATGAATTGATGCGAATCATACTTTATTATTACCGGTAATTCATCAAAATTGGAGTTTGAAGATGGTTAAATAGAATTCAAATATTCACATCCAATAATTATAAATCTCAGAAAGAGTTTAAAAATAAATTTATAACTTAGAATATTTGTACTTGTTAATGTATATTTTCTTTTACCTGAATATCAAAAAGGGTAACAATGTTTCGATCAAACTGAGAGCGTAGAATCCACTTAACCACTTCCATATTGGAAATATCATTGCCGATAAGAGTTTCAGTTTCCTGAAAAGATGTTACATTTTTTAAATAATTTTTCCAATACAGTGATTAGACATTATAAAATAAAATAAATAAACATGACGAAATTATGAAAAAAAACTGAAATTAAATGTCATGATTTTCAGATAAAATAAATACACACATTTTGGTTCTTTTTTCCTTTTTGCTTAGCTGTAATATTTTTGAATATGAGGTTAGGTGTTTCTGAAGAAGCCCACCCAGCACGGCATTGATAAGTACCTGGTAGAAAGAGAGATGATTTTTAAGATTCTTTTTTTAGTCATGTAAATTTTAAAACAGGTCTAAATATTCTTGTCAATAGGTAACATCAAGTAAATAAATAAGTTGTACAATTTAAGACTTAGGTGGCTAGAAAATTCTGCATATGGGTGAGTAAGGGGGCAGAATGAGTAAAAACATTTGTACACAAATTCTGCATCCATTAATGTCAATTTATAGACCATTATAATTATAATTTATCGAGTATAGAGTATAGTATAGGTTAAAGTTAAACTACTGAACTGTCATATACGTGATCTACTGAACTGTCATATAAGTGATAAGTGTTTAAAAAAAACAAAAACATTTCTGCGCGTGACATCTGACATCTTATTATTAAATTATAAAATAATAATGTAGGTACTTTGACACACAATTTAAATATTGTCCGCTTGTCATGAATGATAGGCCTACATCATTTTAAAGGGCTAGATATAAGCTTTACAACAATACCAATTTCACCTTTCTATCTTTCATAGAAGTGGAGTTATGATTTTTTTTGGTGATTTTTTAAAACCCTCTTCTTTATCTTAGTATTTAAATGAAAAAACGTGTGACCCACTTTCCAAATTTCTGCCTTATTTGGGATTTTAAAAGATAATGCTACCAAATTTTAAGGAGACATTCTCAATGCAATATACAGCACAATTAACAACAAAACTTTTATATAACATCAAGACTTTTATTTTTTTATATATTTATTTATGGGTATGTTCAGAAAAAAGTGAACAGAAAAATTGGGAAAATCATTATTTATACAGGAAAAAACGAAAAAATAACATGTTTATTGAATTTTAACTAATTTTATTATGCTTGTGTTGAATTTTAAATCAATTATTATATTTCTAAAATGGTAAGTAGTCTTTTTTTTATGTATAAAATTGAACGCATGTAATTATAAATAAAAATTACTCAAATAAAATATCATCCATGAAGTTAAATTATTAGTCAGAGTAACAGTAACTGGAGTAACTGGCATCATTTTTAAATTTAATGAAAGGCTCCAGAAAACTTTTTATAAATTTAAAATTCGACCATATAAACTTTCTTAAATACATTTTACTCTATTGCTATTACTATTTACGAAGATATTAATTATGTAAAAGTCATGTTTGTTTACCAGCGTTTAAAAAAAAAGTGATATTTTTAATTGATTCGTTTAAAATAGATCTTTGTTTACCATTATCGATAATAAGTGGTACACCATGCAGACTATCAGAATAGTCAAATATTGGATCAGGCTGAGGCTTGTCGTCTTTAAAATTAAACACACGCGTTGCAGATTCTTCTGCCATTGATATTCTATTTATTGCTTTTTTTTTTATTTTTACACTTAACTTCTTATGTTTCTTTTAGCAATTTTAATGGTTTTTGGTAAAGGTTTTTAGTTTACATACATTTTAAAATACTAATTACCGAAATATTAGTTAAAAAATAATGGTAGTCAAAATGTAAAAACTTAATTTCTTTACACGCACGCACGCACATACACTTATACTTATACCCCACCAAAACAAACATACTATCGGAGTCAATAACCTCGCCTTTATTTCTAAATATTATAAAGCACGTGTATATTATTTTCGAAACCAACATATATTATTTAAAACCACCAGTTTCTTAATAGATTAAGCTTCTTGGTAGCCTATTTATTATTTATAAAAAAAATAATGTTCTGCAAATATCCCAACAAATGTTTACTTTAAGGCGCTTTGTGATGTTAAATGTGCGTTGATCTATTTTGACCCAATAGTTTAATGCCCCCCCCCCCCAAACAGGCCCACTTCCTTTTCTTCGCTGGTTTGCAATTTACTTGTTAGAATTTGATCCAGGGGGCCTTGGGAAACTTGGATCCAACAAGGGAACCTTACTTTAAGGCGCTTTGTTATGTTAAATGTGCGTTGATCTATTTTGACCCAATAGTTTAATGCCCCCCCCCCCCCAAACAGGCCCACTTCCTTTTCGTCGCTGGTTTGCAATTTACTTGTTAGAATTTGATACAGGGGGCCTTGGGAAACTTGGATCCAACAAGGGAACCGAGAATCGAAATAGTCTGGGAACCACTGATTTAGAGGATACGTTTTAGTATCACAATCAAGCTTGATCAGAAGTCTGTTGTTATTTTTCTAATTCAGTTTTCTCTTAATACATGAAATCAAATGAAATTTAATGCCCTTCTTTCGTTAAAATAAAAACGAAATTATAACTTTATTCATAATTATTACAGTTACAGCATTTACATATTGTATCATAAATCATATCTTAGCGGCTTTCTTGTCTTTAGTTTCCTAACATATAGGGCTTATCGGATTGTCATAATCTACCGTCTATGTGAATTTATTTGATGCACTGCTCAGACTGAATTTCAGGTAGTGTGTAGGTGATTAGTAGTTATTAGTAGAATAATTTGCATTGTTGCTAATGAGATTTTATCAATGAAAAAAATATTTTAAAAATTAACCAATGAGAGTGTGTATTTTTCTTGAGAAGATTCGGTTTTTTTATGCTCTTCACATATTGATGCCAGTTTGGTTAGTTTTTAAAAAAATGTTATAAAAAATGTTAAAATTTTTATTTATTCGCCAATAAGGCGGTTGTGTTCGCAAATAGTTATAAAATAAAATATATTATCTATTATGTCCATTACTTTTACTTCTTTTTATAGATAGGTCGTTTAAATTTCCTCTTCAAAATATAGGCCTACTTAATTCTGGCAACTATATTTTGCAATCGATATAACAAAAATAAGGTAGTAAACATTACCATTTTGTTTATTGAGGAGCGTAAAACAAATACTATAATATAGTTATGCCCAAATCAGGTTATAATTGTAATTACAAATCTTGAACCATAATAAACATTGTTAAATGATGGCGAGTGGTCATACTCCAAAAACACTGTGGATTCCACCATTACCCCAAGGATGGGAAGCAAGATATGATCAAAGTAGGAGAGCTTAGTAAGTCCAATTTAGTAATTTTTAATAATGAAAATTGATTCAAGGATGTCAAAAAGTTGCAAAAGCAGGCCTATTAATTCTCTAAATAATATCAAAATTAAAAATGAAAAAAAAATATTAGATGATCATCATTTTTATCCAAGTCTGCACAATTATTTGTTTACAAGTTATAATTATAAAAATACAGCTTTTATTATTAGTTTTAAACTTTTAACCTGTTGACAGTCATTTGGAAATAAATCAAAAGTTTTCATAAGTCCCTCAATTCATGCCACTCAGCCCCTCTCCTCCTCAGCAACATCCTCACCTCACCATAAATCCTAGCCCTCATATCACCCTATTTACATCTCCATAAGTATAAGCCATACATTCTTCCAGTGCTATCTCCCCTTATACTCATACTACCTCACTCATACTGTACCTAAACTCATCCCTCATTGTTCATAATAATAATAATAAGAGGTCTTATATAGCGCGGTACCCCAGCCTAGGGCTGGGCTCACCGCGCTGTACATAAAAATTTTATCAAAAGAGACATAAACATGACATTAAAATAAAATACATCTATGAAATAAAGAACAGCAATGTATATTCACCCACCCCATAACTTTTACAAGGCAAACCATGGACGGCAGCCAGCAAGATTGTTAATTGGTCAGAGGAGGGGAATCAGTCAGGGTTGTATAATTTAAAGAGATATGTTTTGAGTGCAGTTTTGAAGGCCTTGGTGATTGATATATTGTGTATGTGTAGTGGCAAAGAATTCCATTGTTTGGGGGCGCAGAAAGAGAAAGATCGTTCACCATATGTTTTAGTTTGTGTCTTGAACGGACAGAATATGTGTGTTTGCAGAGGAGCGAAACTGTCAAAGGGGTGAATAGACAGAAAGAAGTTTGGTTAGATATCTTCTTGGCTTAACTCCCTACCATCTAGTTTTCAACCCTTTCATGTCCCCCTTAAATTCCACTTGCGGGCCATCTGTAAACTATGTCATGCTATTTTGTTAGATTTTTACCCACCCCCAAGATACGTGATGTCATTTATGAAAGGCTGCTTACCCTCTTCCTCCTCAACCACCTCCTGGGGGTCACCCACTTCCTCTTCACCCACTTCCTCCTCACCCACCTCCTCCTCGCCCACTTCCTCCTCACCCACTACCAATATCTTTTCATTTTATCTTTTTCCCTTTATCCCCACCCTCTTCCTTATAGCAACATCACTACCCCTGCCAAATTCCTAATGGCCAAGAGGGTTGCCTAATATTATCATTTTATTGTCTGTGAAGCTCATACTATTTGGTCCACAATATTTATCACTGGATCTTTGATATTATTCCTGCAGCTTCTTTATAAACCATCAAACCCGTACAACACAGTGGGAAGATCCCCGATTTCCTCAACCAGTTTCAACAACCCAGTCTAATGCCACCGCTGCAGTAAGATTTATTAAAATATTGTTGTGCTTTAATAGGATTCAGCTTTATTGTTCCCAGAAGCCTATGCTTAAATATTATTGCTATGTAAAACAAGTGAATCTTACTTAAATATTTTTTGTAAAAAAAAGCTCCTCTTTAATTCTTTTGAAGTAAATTTAAGACTATTATTGATGTTGTTTGTGTTGCTTTTATTTATGTACTAGCAGGCTTTGTTAGCTTCTCTTGGTTTTGCTCTTTTGATTTATTTTTTTTTTTAAAATTTAAGTGTCATTTAAATAGTATATATATTTATTGCTTTGTGATTAGTTTATTTTGCTGTTTCTTTAAAAAAAAAAGAGTTTACAGTGTTTATAGGCCCTCTGAAGTTAGTGAGGATTCATTGTGGTTCCAGAATAGTATGCGATGAATGAAGGCTTATTTCATTGTTAAATCTTTTAAGTCATTTTAAAAATTCAGTCTGAGGTTTGGAGGTTTATTCCATTCAAGTATGATTCTTTTCTCATTAATCTCATGCATTTTTTAAGAAGTCAGGCTTATTATAATTAATATTTAGCTCCACAAATAGTTTTTATTTTGTCTGAGTTAAGCAACTTGACACTGATCTAATGAGAGTATTTTTGAACGCTGTTTAGATCACTTATAACATGAGAATTTTTATTTGTGCTTGCAGTTCTGGCAAATGATTATTCTAACCAACTATTTATAAGTTCTGACGGATTCTCTAATTGTCTACGAATAAATTCTGTCGGATAAATTCTTCTAATTGGCTAAGAATACGTTTTAAAAGGTGATTACCTCTAACTGACTAAGATTAAGTTTTGACTGATGAACATTAAAAAAAACTTTTGTTTTTCATAAATTTATCAGTTTCAGTCGCTTGGTCAAATAGGTGAGCCAAATGAAAACCGTGAGGCTAATGCCCTCCAACTTCAAGACTTCAACCGCACATCTCATTCAAAGACCCGGAAGGGCAGTGACACAGATTCAGTCAAGAGTGTAAATATCTACTACTTGATCTTATCCTCATGCTAATCTATCTTTATAACCAACCTGGATTGATATTTTTTCAACTCTTAAAATAGGTTACAATGCTTGTCCTCAAACTCATAGCATTTACATAGATTTTTAAAAATTAAATACTGTTTATTGTTGATCCAACTCCTATTCTATACCATTTTTCAATTGTACAGTTTTTCATTTGACTAAATTTTCACTTAAAACATATTCAACAGACAAGGGTGGCAAGGAGTTATTTGAAATCTTTAATATAAAACTGAGTTAAAAATCTCAGTTTGAATGCTATGTGTTATCTATTTTTCAATCATAACTATGATAGATATGAATGTCACTACTTTTATAAGGGAAAAAAAAAAATGCAACAAAACAGCAAACTTGTTGATAATACTAATTTCTCTCAGATACTGCAATACAGCTAATTGTTATTTTTGATTCAATTCTGTTTTTACTGTTGTTTGATTGCCGATGAAGGCTTCTGGCCAACACATTCGTTGTTTTGTTGCGTTCTTTTTTTTCTTCAGGTTTTTTCTTACTTCATTTCGCTAATTTCCAGTTGAAAGACAGCAGCCAAGTTGGTGGGGGGTGGGGGGGGTGGGGGGGGGGGTAAAATTAGTCGGTGTACTCTATATTATTTGTAGTTACCAGTTACTGGTTTTATTACAGCTGCTGGTTTTTTCTTACTTCATTTCGCTAATTTCCAGTTGAAAGACAGCAGCCAAGTTGGTGGGGGGTGGGGGGGGGTGGGGGGGGGGTTAAAATTAGTCGGTGTACTCTATATTATTTGTAGTTACCAGTTACTGGTTTTATTACAGCTGCAGAATAAAGAGAAAGAATAATAATTGTACTGCATGAATGTTTTTAAAGAATAAGTAGATTTTTGTTTGTTTGCTAGCCTTGCTTTATTAATGCTTTATTTAACATAAACTTACTTTTAAAAATGTCTTTAAAAAAAATATCAATGGTATATTTTCTATGAACTTTTTGGCCTTAGTATAACAAATTAGTATTACAGGTTTACTACAAAACAGTAGATGTTTAAGAAAGTTTTATCACCACCACCTTATAAAAATATAATTTCTTGTGTCAACATTATTATACATCAGTCTTAGCCAGCCCCTCCCCCCTCCCCTTCCTTTTTCCTTTTTCTTCCCCCAAACTGTCGCCTTGACACTAATGAAGTGTATAGCAATTAGATATTTTATCAGAAATCGATTAAACCAAATAGTTTATTCACAGACCCACAAATGACCACATAGAAATTGTAGATTTTTACTTCATAAGTTGCCTTTCTTTTATTTATATTTTAATTATTTCAGCAGTTAATAGTATACAATGACTTGTTTTAATTTTATAAACTTCCTTTAGTTCTCTCACTCCACAAGATAGATCAAGGGTCCTCAAACTTTTTAAACTAGGGGCTGGACCAGTGTCCTCGAACACTGTTGGGACCAGATCAGTGTCCCTCAGACACACTAATAGTTTTGAACGAATCCAATGAACACTGCAATTTCTCATTTGTAGTGAAAAAAACAGCTTGAAAAAATAATAACATTTAAAATGAAGATGAAATAAATCCAACATAAAGTTAATAGTATTTCAAAGGGAAGTAAGGGTAATGAGATGATCAATGTCTGTTCCTTATTTGTCACTGCTAGCCAGGTACCCTTATGTTGGCCAGGTGGGCTAAGTTAAGGACCCCTGGTGGGGCAGATCTGGCCTGCGGGCCGTAGTTTGAAGACCCCTGAGATAGATTATGAGTGTGTTGGCAAGACGGAACTCTTATTTTTTATATTTTTCTTCCTTTCCCTTAAAAATAGTGATTTGACTTGCTTTAGTTTTCTGCCCTATATATATATATATATATATATATATATTCTGCTGCACCAGTTTTCAATATGTTTGATCTAACAGACTAACTACTACAATTCTGTGACATACCATTCAAATATGAATAAAATATATCAGCTGATTCAATGAGGAAGATTGTGAAGGCACATTATTACTCTGATATTGTGTTAGTTATATTTTATAGATTATAAATATTTGAGATAAATTATTTAAATTGTAGTTCCTGTCCCACTTTACAGGTGAAATTCACCACACAAAAAATTTGTTACATTGATTTTTATTTCATTGCAACAAATTATTTGAAAACACTTGTGCACTACTGGTATTAACTACATCGATCAATGATCCAATACGATGTTGCAATAGTAACCTTGAACTGCATGTAAGATAGGTACAATATCCTGTTTAAACAGTGACCTCGAAGTGTATGATTTCATGATCCAATATCCTCCTACCATAGCGACCTTGAACTGAATGAATCATTGATACATTATCCTAATATCTTTTTACAACTGGAATTTGAACTGCATGTAACAATGATACTATATCCTGTTATAGAATGGACTATGTAATTGTCTTTGTAACCACTCTCAAAACATTTGCAGAAGCTCAGCTCTGTAGACTACTCAAAGTATTTAAAATAGAATTGGAATCAACGTAAAGAAATTTCTCTAAGATATCCCTGTGTTTTAAACCAGAGCTAAGCCACTGGTGTGCTGTGATGTAGGTGTGGCACACCAAATGCCTTTAAGATGTGGAAAGCACAGAGTGTATGGAGGCCCATAAGTATGATAAAACCATTTTGATATTATGGGGACATTGGTTAGCCTTACCAAGCTGTCAAATAGAACTTTTTCATTGATTAGCGTTAACAAGCTGTCAAATAGAACTTGGTAAGCTTTACCAACAGAGACACTCCTAATGCACTAATAGTTATTGAGGAGAAGTAGAGTGTAATCTGATACCTTTTAGCATGACAGGCAATTATGAATGTTAGCCATATTTTATTATTTAGTATAAAAGTTTTCCTGGCTAATGTAAGTGTCACCTATGAACTAAGTGGTCCAATAGTTTTTGTCAGTTTTTACTTGTGTTATACCAAGGAATTCTTGCAATGGCCTAGAGTCAGACACCTTGTAAAAAAAAAAAAATGGTTGTAGTCACAGATGCATAATATTACCATTTGATGTACGGTATTTAAAAGATGAAACATTAATGCCACTGCGCAAACATCCTGAGGCTAATTACAACAAGGCCAATAACTAAAGTGTTGACTAGGGACATTTTCAGAACTGTTAAAAATGGTTTTTGTTTAATGGTAGGAGTCGAGCTTCACAAACAAGGTGAATACAGCCAGTGTGGAGAAGCTGAGGGCAGAATTTCCTAATGTAACTAAAGAGCTTGTTGGGGATATCTTAATGATGTGAGTATCAGTTATGGGATTTATAACACATTTAATAACAGTCAATATCTGCATTTTTCTTTTGGCAACATTCAATATCGCATTCTGATGGTGCTATCTTTCTCCTTTTTTTAAGTCATACGAAGCCATAGGGTGAATTTTTTTAAAAATTGAACTTATTTTCTATTTCTTCAGATGCCACAACAACGAGAGAGAAGCAAGAGAGCAGCTCCAGGATTTGGGATTCAGCAGCACGCAGTCATCTGGTGCCAGTTCTAGCCTCGCAACCCCACAACGCACACACTCAGGCAGCAGCTCAAAAGGCAAAACCTCTAGTTCTAGCACACCGAAGCGCACACATGCAGCCGGAGGCTCATCTGGTGCACACTCTAGTCTCTCCACCCCACATCGGCCCACCTCCTCCACCTCTCCTAAGAAACAAGTCAAAACTCCTCCAAACGTTAATCCAAATAAGAAGAAACAAGGCAAACAGCAACAGCCACAACAGCAGCATCATCAGACCCAACAGCCAGCCAAAGAAGAAGTCAGCGAATCTGATAAAACAAGAGGTGGGTAGAATTTATACCATTATTAATAGTATTATGGTCATGAAAAAAGCATGGACTAACGACCATATATAAAATTGATATTATTCATATGTGTTACCAATTTGAAAGTCTTTTATTAATGTCTTGCAGTTTGTGTGGGTGTCTGCACTGTGTGTGATTTTAACCCTTTTGCCTTGTGGCTATGTGGGATTGTACTTGATGTGGTGTTAACATTCATGCATTATTTATTGAATATCTTTTTTGGAGAAATGAGTTAATATGATTAACAACCCACCCCTCCCTCCAATTTAAATGTTGACTTAGTACAGCCGCCCCCCCACCCCAATGTAGACCTTATCTAAATTATTTGTCAGTTCACTTAGTTCTTCAATGTCCCGTTGCAGCATTCAACCAACTGAAGAATACCTTCCCCACCACAGACTCTGATGTCATACGCATTGCCCTCGGCCACTGCAACTATGATCTTACAGAAACAACAGTTTTGGTCTCCGCGTGGGTGAAGAAACAAGGGTAGGCTCTTACACTTACAGTCTTGGTCATAGAATTCTCTGATTTATTTCTTATGACAACAGCCAAAGTTCTGTCTCTGTGAATCGTGTCATGGTTGTGTAAAAACAAAATGTGAATTTAAAAAAAAAAATTTTGTTACTTACATAATTTCCTGTAGCTTAAAAGCAAGAAGGCAAAATGACTGAGATGTAGCAGGAGCTGGCAAACTACAGCCTACAAGCTAATAAAGGAATTAGCATTTTTTACTTTTTTAAATGAACACCATCTTGGAGCTTGTCTATACTGCTCCTATTTTCATGCTGTAAATGGCTTCTAACTTCTAATGTAACCTCAAGCCTTTATAATTCAGCACAACTTTCACTCATGTACCTGTATCTCCCCTCCCACCTTTTTAAACAAAAAATCCACTGTACAATTAACACATCTACCCTATAAACATATCCCAAGTAGGCAGAAAACATTATATTTTGCTATACCAGTACTGGACTGAACTCAATTGCCCCCAAATATGAAATGAGCTGGGAAAGTTTGCCCACAGCATCTAAAGTATAAGTCCTTTTCCAAAAAAGTTTTTTTTACCCTTGAGGTACAGTAGCTGTTAAGGAATATCTTGTTATTGTGAATTTTCTTAGTGTTCAGACTAATGATTTTCTTATTCACATTTATTTATGAACCAGAGAGGATGACCTGAAGCTTGCACAGGCTAGAGGTAAATATGCTTAGTGTTACCAGGAGATAGGATTAGTCTCTAAAAACATTGTCCATTAAATTATACTCTATTTATCTTGCTTGTTTATATTGACTGTTGCTGTGACTAGTTTGGCAGATTGGTTTGTTTAGTTGACAAACTTTTGAATTTATTGTAACAGAAGCTTCACTGAGAGCCACAAGTGACTCTGTCTCTGCAGCACCCCGTGTGTCTCTTTCTGGTTCTTTAGAACCAGCAGGCATAGAAGATGCAGCAGCCAACAGGCCTCAGTAAGTCACAGACTGTTTCATATGGAGGTCTGTTCACATGCGACCACATTGTCTTTAGTTGGTCTTCAGGTTCTCAAATATTTACATACCCATTCCCCATTTTGCCTCCTATACATTTTCCGATACCTCCTATGTGCAAATCCCCCCCCCCCCCAAAACCACCTTATAAGGACTTTCACACAAATCTACTAACCAGATCACCCATCCCCAATTAATGTGCACATAATATATTTATTAATATTGTTTATAACAACTAGCAAAATGAATTTTTGGAAGGTTTGACATATTAAAATTTGTCGGCTAAGGATACCTTTGATTCAAATAAATATACCAGTACAGTAATTCAATAAATTAAGTCATCTGCATGTTAATGACTACTTTTTGTTAGAACAATGCTCTCTGATAGTGTCACAAATGACACCAAGTTGATTTGTTGTCGCATGTTGTGCTGCTGGAAGTTGTATTTGCATATAACATGCTTGTAAACCTGTCTGGACAATTTTACAAAAAAAAACTAGCTAATATGTTTGATAACCTTAGGCTTTTCTGATAACCTTAGGCTTTCCCTCATTTTTATCATTTGATTCTATCAGAGGATTTGGCTCTGCACAGCCAAACACGCACAGACCGGGCCCTCGTCCTGGGACAAAATCTACCACGAATGAAACATCAGACCCATCTCATTCTGGCACAGGTCAAAATGGTGCCAGTGGTGGTGATGCAGCAGCTGGAGGAGCAAGTGACTCAAGCCAGGCCAGGGGTCACCATCATGCTAATGCTCAACAAGTCACCAGGTCAGTGGACTGGGTTTATGAGACAAAGTTTAGTAAAACTGCCCTTATGAGTGGAAACTATTTTTAACTGAAATATTTTGACACCAATCAAATGTATGTTTTAAAAATCAGCATTTTTATTGAACTGGGTTAGTGAAATGAATGTTACTGAAATTCAATTAAAATTAATTAGTCCACACATTTTTTTTATGTGTTTGTGTTTGCAGAAGGCACAGATAATTTCTTTGTCATATTTTTCTTAAATGACTAGAGGTGTTCCTAATTTTTATTGGCTTTAATTTGTTTTAAAAATTGTCTGCTATAGCTTTCTAAATATGCTTTTTTAAAAAAATACTTGAGAAATTTTGATTTTATAATAAATTTCTTTCAGGTCCATTTAATATTTATTTTAAACTTATTTCTCAAAACTTGTTCGACAATTTTTTTCCAATGTTCAGAGCTGTTTTTTCTCCTCATTTCCAATGTTCAAAGCTGTTGTTTTTTCTGCAGTTTCCTTAATGTTCATGGTTTCCATCTATTTCTGCTTGAGATGTTATTGAACAAATATTGCAGCACACTGAAAATGATAATTTAATGTCAACTGTTATTTATTGCATATTAATGTCACTTGAATATAAGGCACTTGTGTGGATCTTTCCTATACTATGCTCACAAATAATGTTACTTATGATTTAGACAAGAGCACCAGATGTAACTTGTGATTAAGATAAGAAGATACGGACACCTGATGTCACTTGCATGTTGACCAGGGCACCAGAGGTTACCCAATTGTATTCTTGCTCATGCCTCTCCTTTGTGCACTACTATGTTATATTTACAATTTGTATATTGTAGAGACACATCGAATATATTTAAATGTATAAAGTTGAGAAGAATTTGAATTAAAAGTACTGGTAACAGTCTGTATGAAAATCGCTATAAATATAACCCTATGCAGCAGACTATGAACAATATCTGAATGTATGTTGCAGCCTATGAACATATGTGTATGTCATTTGTAGAAGACTATGAACATATATATTTAAGTTGTATATAGACAACTGTCAGCATATTCATATGTAAGTAGTAGGCTATAAACATTTCCATATGTATGTAGCAGGCCATGACCATATTGCTATGTATCTACCACGTAGAATGAGTGAACACCTCCTGAACACAACCAATGACCTACTTAATCACCTGGCTACCACAGCCTCGTGCTGCTCCAGTGAAGAGGAAGAGATTGCACTTGTTGAAAGTGAAGAGACAAGGTCTTTCCTTTTCACTTATCAACTTGATGTCTTTAAATAGTTCCAGTTGCATCCCTTGCTTACTGTGCACTTAATCAGTAGTCAAAGTTGTTTTGTTTTTTTAGTTTACACATCTTAGTCATTTTGTTTGTAATTTTTTTATTTACTCACTTAATATGGACATGTATTATTTTGATTTTGTATACAAATATTTGGTTGCCACATTTGTGAAGGCATGTCAATCATACCTACTTAGACAAGCTTTAAATGGCCTAAAACACTGGAACCAGTAGTTACCACTTTTGATTCTTATTGTTTTGTTTTGTGCAAGTCTATTTTTTTTGTGTTGCCAAAAATTTAATAAAGTATTCATTTTTTTTAAAAATAATTAATTGTATCTGAAGGTTGTCATGATGCAATAAATAATTGACCAAAAATTCATTAAAAACGGAACGAAATATATTTGAATTGAGATATAGTGAGTAAAAAAAAATATATCGCTACCACATTATCGCTCAACAAAAATATCATTTATATTGTTATAAAATGTGAATTTCTAAGTTTATTTAAGTCTTGATTTGATGCATACTTAAACTCTATCTTACATTTTGTCATCTGTGACAGTATATTAATTTTGTTAATGAATAATTGGGTTAATTTTTGTTGTTTTATTTGCTGGCACTAAAGATTATTAAACATAAGCGTGATTTTTGTTTTCTTTATATGCATGTTTAATTAGAAAGCAATGTTAAATCTCAATTCTGAAAATTTTACTCTAATTAATTGGAAGGTAAAAAAAATTTTTTTAAGAAAAATGAATAAAATAGTTGAATTTAAAATAAAAATTTAGCTTTAACGTTTTATTGTTGACATACCTTTAGTAATTGTTTATTAGGTTTATTTTGTATTATATTGGGTATTCTTATCATTCTCAGAACTAACCGACCAGAAAATCCTCCCAGGGCGGCAGTTGTAACCTCACAGCCCACTGTGGTCAACCCTCAGCCCACTAAAGAAGAGAATCTAAATTTTGTGTCTCATTTGAGAATAGATTCTAAAGGTCCTGATGCCAAACTGTGCAAAGGACCAGACAGTTCTCTGCTTACGTAAGTTCATAGAGTAAGGTTGACAAACACTGATTGTTCTTTCTGGTCGAGCCTTTGGTTGAACTTTCAAAGATATTGCAGTTATTATTTATCCTCCCAGTTCCTTCTGTTATAGAACTTGATTCTGATTGACTACGTTGCTGCAACCAAGTACTGGCATATGTGCAACGGTTTGGGAAAATATGTGGCTATCCTAACGGCTCCTAGGGGGTGCCAGGGCAGCCTTGAAACTCTCGATTGATTAGAGAGAAAGAGAAGGGGGCCCAGCATTGTACCGTGAGGAACTCCTGAGTCTACAGTGGCTTTGCTTGATCAGACGCCATCCACCACAACTTGCATGGTCCTTTGTGTTAGGAATGTTGAGATCCAGGAGTGATGTTGTAGAAAAATCTTGAACAAAATGTAGAGTTCACATATGATAGTGGTGGAAAGCACAGATGTCAAAGACTGGGATCGACTATGAGAGTAGAGGGGGGGTGGGGGGGGGGGTCATTTTATTTGAACATGTTAATCTAATTTCTGTGGATCCATAAGCTTTTTCATCTGAAAACCCAAAAGAGGAAACAGTTAAAATATAGACAATAAAATAAGACTACCAATGAAAAAAACCAACACGTTTTTTTAAAGCTTGTTAACCAGTTACAAATTTTTATCACAGCTTTAAATATGCAGTAAGTTAAAATTATATGGAATAATATTACACTGAAAAGTCTGTTTTCCAAGTTTCTTCTTTTACAACATTAAAAAGCTATTTTAAATCTATCAGGGTCACTTTCTTTCTATTAAATGTTATCTTTGCTTGAATAAAATGGTGTTGCAAGTAAACAAAAATGTAAGCTGGAGTAATGATGAAGAGATAAATATCAGGATCCCAAAAGCAACAGCAACTATGGCTAAACTGAATAAGCGGGTGTGGAATAATCTCAATCTAACTGATAAAACAAAAATAAGTGTCTATCAGGCATGCGTGCTTAGCACGCTCCTATATGGTAGCGAAATGTGGACCACATACACCAGTCAGGAGCAGAAACTCAACAGCTTCCATCAAAGATGTCTGCGTCGCATTTTACGCATTCGTTGGCAGGACAGGGTGCCTAACGTGGAGGTTTTGGAACGTGCACACATGTTTAGCATATTCTCCTTTCTTATCAAGAGGCACCTTCGCTGGTTAGGTCATGTACCGAGAATGGAGGAAGGACGTATCCCAAAGATACTGCTGTATGGAGAGTTGGCAGAAGGGACAAGACATATTGGACGACCACGCCTGAGATTTATTGACGTTTGCAAACGAAGCATGAGGGAAGCCAATATTGAATCAAACAAATGGGAGTTCATTGCCGAACATCGCTCCAACTGGCGAACAGCAGTGTTTGAAGGAGTAAAAAAGGCAGAAGATACTCGAAACGAGGCCCTTGAATCAAAAAGAACAATTCGGAAATCAAGATCTTACCGGGATTCAATATTCTCCTGCGAGAGATGCGGCCGTGATTGCCATTCGTCATAGTGGAGAACTATATAGCTATTCCATCATCTCACGAAGACGGAAGGATCCATGTGAGCTTGAGTAAACATTTTATCTTTTTCAGAATTGTATTTATTTTTCTTTATTTAAGGAAAGTAACTAAGCCAATCAATTCATAATTAAATTGTAATATTTTTACCCTTCCAATAGATCTGACTACACACAGGCTAATGGTCCTGACAGAAGTTTGCGTGCTGGCCCTGATCCCAGCCACAGAACAGGACCCAAAGGTGCACAAGGTCCTGATGCGTCACTTCGGTGTGGCCCCCAGATGTCACTACTTCATAAGCTTCGAAGTATACCAGTAGAAAGTGAATTTTCTCTTATTACTCAAATATAAAACTTCCTCAAACTTCTTTGTATTTTAAAAAAATATGTGTTGTGATAATTGGGAGAAATATATTTTACCTTCTCTTTTTTGTCAAAAATTTCTATCTCACATTAGGAAGAATACTTCAAGTTCAATGTCACAAAAATCTGGCTTTCTGGAATGCATTGTTTCATTTTCAACCCTTAAAATTTAATTATTTTTTTAAAAAATGCAATTTCTTTATTTACAGGAAGAAATATATTTAATTGCATCATTTTTTACAATTGCTTTTTTATTTGTAATTTTTTTATAAAAGTAATAAAAGCAACTAAATTTCATCCATGTGCCATTTACAATTTCTGTTTCATCTGCTGCTATGCTGTATTTTAAAAACCAATTCTCATATAATGGCCAATATGGTTGACTTTGACGGTTAGCCTGTTTTATGTGTGTCTTTATTAATTTTTTTCTTTAAAATTCTATAAATAACCTTAAAGTGACTCTATTTGGTATGATAAGTCCTTTAGAAAGAAATGGGTACGAAAAAATAACTACTATAATTCTATAATGTATCTCCAGCTTTTTTGTATTGTATAAGCACAAATGTGTAACAAGTGTTTTTCTACTTACTTTAATATAATGTGCAATAACTGTTTCTCTAAATATTGCATTGTTTAAGGCTTCATATTTATTTATATTGTATTGTGTAAAATGCTTGGGCATTGTGATATGCCTGGAGCTACAGGCTGTCATGGATACAGAAAATGGCCAACTCATAAGTGGTGTTTATGGGCCAAGATTACAGATGGCTAACTTTTGCTTTATATTTAAATGTGATAAAGTGTGGATTACCGGTACCTCAATACTGTAATGAACTTAATTAAGTTACCTCAGTCTAAACATACAAGCAGGGTGATCCTGTTTGCAATTTAGCTGAGAGGTGGCTGGGAACCCATGTTTTGTTAACTATTGTCTATTTTTAGAATCCTAAATTTCACGGGCAAAAACTTCCAAGCAGATTAAAAAACTTTAGCATGTTTGCCACAGTTAGTTTTAAATTATTTTAACAAATTCGTAAACATAAAATGTACTTTTTATTCCATTTGGTGCTTTATTTTTATATTTTGTGTATTAGCATAAATGTTTTTTTACAGACTGACTAGTCTACAAACATAAGTAAGAGAGGGCGATCAATGTTTTTTGTTTTTTTAATTTGATGGACTTTTCTTTGACAAGCCCTAATCAAATTTTTTAAAACTAATGGTTTTTCCTTAACTTAATATAGCTTTTACTCATTGATACTGATTAAAGTTTTAACATGCTGATGTGTAATAATTTGTATATTTAGATATTTTTGTATATGGTTAGTACATTGAATCATTCTTTCTAACTGCTAGTTGTTAAGACTCCTTAATCTTATTTTCTAAATGTATCAATTTGTATGGAGATCATTAATTTTATCAAAAGGATGTTCTTTTTACAAATTTTACATTACAATAAAATTAAAAGTTTTGTTAACTATGGTTTTGTTGGTCTTTTAATTTATGTACAACATTAAACAAGTCAAATGCGTAAAATTTCTTTAAAATTTAATAGAAATCAAATAAATGCCTGAAATTCTAACAATAAGCCAGTAAAATAATAGAAATTTATACAATAAAACATCACTGGTGGATGTTATATACACTGCAGGGGATTTTTAACCAAAAACAACTTGACAGAAAATCCCAACAAAATAACCACACATATGTATTCACTTTTAAATGAAAATTCTGAAAAATTTTTAAAGCTGGAATTTCCTTGATTAACAAAATAAAATACTCGGGACCATTCAGAACATCATATTCAATTTTAAAAAAAAACACTTAAGGTGAATAAATGCTTTAGATTATAACCACTTTATCATATGTCTTAAACAAAACTCATACTTCACACAACTTTTACTGATTCAACCCATCAAATTCTTGAAAACAGACATCAGAATCAATTAAACAAGTAGAAAATTGTTACCAGTACATAACCACAAAAAAAAACCTTGGCAGATACATAAACAAAATAATTTTACAATGTATTTCATTGTCCAACTTCATGTTCCTGTAACAACATGTTTGGAATTCCATTTGTGATGGGAAATTTACGACCAGATTCAGGGCACACAAGCTCGCCTTGTATCACTTCCACCTACACAAACAAGCAAATTAATGAAACTGCAATCAATGAAAAACTTACAGATTTAAACATGGCGATATTATAACATTATAAGTCAAGAAAGTATTTAAAGAGCTATACATTATTTGACAAATTTAATTTGCAGGATGACAACTATTTATATTTTATAATATATGTTATTTAAATATGTGATTTAGAAACTTCCAATGAAAACATTACCATCATCTTCTTGAGACGGATGGATGGCAAATTGTTTTTAATTATTTAAATATATGAATTTAAATTGGGGAGGAGATGGTGTTGGACTATTACTGACCTGTAATAAAGCATTGTGAATTTTTTTGAGTAATTCTTCATCTTGTTGAAAATTTTCTCCAAGAGTTTCAGGAAGGCCATCTCCGAATCCAGTCTGGTAAAAAAAAAATTTGTTATTAATGACATTATAATTACAGTGCTATTCCTCTAACTAGAATAGAAGAAATGATTTCAAATTTAACTTAAAAAAAACTACATCAAACTATTGCCTTTTTGCACAAAGACCCAGGATAAATAATCGTGGCAAAGCTAAAGAACTGCCATGAAATTGTAAATGTTCTCACACTTGACAAAAATATTAAAAATACTGGTTTTAACTTGGCAGCTGCAAAAGCAAGATTTACATCAATATAACCACGAAATGTCAGTGCACTAATATCGATATAAATTTTACCTCAACAGCTGCTTGATGTAGTGCTGGCCAATCAACTTTAGACAAGGTTCTCACGACAAAAGCTGGATTATAGTCTACGTCTTTGATCTCTACTTGAACTGGCTGCCAAATGATCAAATTGTTTCTTCCATTTACATAAGCAGATTTATAGATTTGTTTACACAAAAATATCCCCCACAAATATCAGTTAGGCCTTTAGGATATATTAATATCAATTTTCTTAATTTTTTCTTGGGAGTGTGTTAATTAAGGGATCCTGTCTTTCTACCATTAGAGTTGAATATAAATACATTTAAAAAAATTATAGTATTTAAAGACACAAATAATTTGAATACACTGAATGATTGAATGCTTCTAAAAGCTGAGTTAAATTACTGATGCAGTCATACCACAATTTTGAGAGGGAATCCTTTTGTGACACCTTTAATTATATTTGAAGTCAACATATTATGGGTCAGAAGCTTCATTCTTGAGTTATATGATATTCCAATTACACTGAAACAAAAAAAATTAACATTTATAAATTAGATTAACAGTATTAATAGCTATTGTGATTTTAAAAAATACCGTACGAACCTTCATAAATTCATGTAGCCTATAAGGAGAATATTTAATATATTGTGAACTCTGGTGGAGCCTGTGGATGAACCATCACCATTGTTCCTTTCAGACAACTCTGTGAATTCAAGTAATTTAAGACACTGGGCGCCATAATGCCTCATTTTAGTGGTGATAGATGCCCTTGCTCCCCCCCCTTGTAATTCCTGACATGTCCCATCCCCTGATCAACTTTGAAAGTTACACTGAATTCAGGTGACTAAATGCACCACTGGATCTTAAATTTATCCAAAATTTCTCGGGAGGGATTCCCAAAGCCCCCCCTCTCAATCAAGAGCCATCATCGCCCTCCATTTCTGGCCCTACCCAGATAAAAATGTTAGTATCTGCACTTTTTTTTACTGAAAAGAACACCAGATTTTAGCATTTAAGATGATTTCTTGAACTGACAAATATATAATAAACTATTAATAAATTTTACATATAATCGGACCATTTATATTTCAGTGACAAAACTTACCAAGGGTCAAAAGCAAACCCTTAGGAGCGCCACAACTGGAATGAATTAAGGTTATGTTGGAGAAAGGGTGGTGGGGTGTTTGACGCCAGCCCTGGTTGCTATTGTACCTAAAATTTATGCCGATAGGTGCAATGCCCAGTGGCATAATTAGGGTTAGTGGGCGAAAATCCAGCGCTACCATGAATGAAGAAAGAGCCCCCCGATGCGCCCCACCTCACTGCCCTTTATTACATTACTGCCCACCCGATCTTCTCAAATCCCCCCCGCCTCCCGAACACATTGTCTGAATGAAGCAATGACCATCACCATCCTCACCATATGGGTGTCGGCCCCTGATGTATAATTTAGTCTATTACTATTATAAACTATATTTATATATACTGTAATTTTATATAATAATAATATTAATATATTATATAAATTACAGTATATAGTTAATACAGTCACATAGAGAAGTTTAAATTAAAAACAGAAATTTTTTGTGTAATGACAACTGCCCTTATCCCAGTCTAAATAAAACTAAAAGATTAATTTATCATAAAATTTAACTAATTTAATTTACTAGTATTTGAATTCTAGGCACATCAGAAGTCACAATTTTAGTTTTAGAAATAGTGTAATGATTTACGAAGTGGCTATTCAGACCCGGGTATCAGAAGTAAGAGGTTAGGATTTAAAAAAAATATTGTTGGGTTTGTTTAACTAAAATTATAAACTACCAAAAATGACATTTGAATAGCATTTAGTCTAAAGCAGTGTTTCCCAAACTATTTTGTGCCTCTCCCCACCTTACTGACCTTAGCCTTTCTAAAATTTATATGCCTCCCCATGTATTATGTACATAATTTTTAATGTTAAAAAAATTGGGTTGTTCACTGAAGAGACTTAAATGATTTTTACAACACTTTTAATGAACACTCATACTGATTTTAAATCGAGAATTTGAAATTTAAAGGATTTTCTCCTTTTAAAAAACGAGTTAAATCATAGTAGACGGTTGGTTTTCAAAATCTAGACAGCTAATTTTTCATATTGCACCCCTGCGGGGCTTGGGCACCAGTTGGGAAACAGGGGTCTTAAGAAACACAGTAAGTTAAGTGTAAGCATAGCAGCTATTCAGACCAGGTGCCTTTATTTAATTTTAATTTAGACAAATGATCAAAATCAAAATGCTATTCGTATGTCATTTGTGGTAGTTTATTTTAGTTAAACTGAAGAAGAAAGTTTACAAACATACAGTCCATTCAATTATCTTTCATTTGATACCAAATTTTGTGTTACAAACCCAACAATAATATTTTTAATATTTTTTAAATAAACCCAACCTCTAAAAAGCACTTCTGATACCGGGTCCAATTAGCCGCACCAAATGATTTATGTCAGCAAAATGTCGTATTAATAAATGATTTCAAAATTAAAAATTCTTCATTTAAAAGAAGCTGAAAAAAAAAAACAGGCCACACACTAAAATGTTTCAGAGTTTAGTATAAACTGTAGACAATAGCTTCAATAGATCCCGTGGTACTTTAACTTTAAGTCTTTAACAGAACTGATTTCGCGAAATGCGGTTGTGAAAGCTAGTTTAGTTTTTTTATTTAGCTATCATCGCCAGATTTTATCAAAAGTGTAAAAAAGCGGAGTTTTTAAAACATACGTATGAAACATACATGCACAACATATATTCTGATTTATTTTTTAAATAAATTACAAATAATTTAAAATATTTTTGTTAGTCCAATGCGTTTTGACTTGATCGTTTTCTATATAAATATAAACAATTAAAATAATACTACTTTCATGCAAAGACGTCCAAGCTGGTTGTTATACATTTTTGTACTGCGGGCCCTTACATTTAGTGGCATGGTCAGAGATTAACAACATAAACACGCACTATTCAGATTAATCAAAATTAGTTAGACAGAACGTACCGTAAAGTAAAGAAAAGATGACTATTTTTATAACTTATTTTAGTAATAATTAAATAAAATTATCGGCTTACCAAATTATCTTACCTTTTTCTGTTAACGTGTATTATTCTACTCTAAAATATGAAATTACCACCCCCACTTGGCCCACTTCTTATACTTCTATACTATGACTATAACAATAAACAAGTCTTTTTCTTAAATATATTATTTAATATTTTATTAATATATTTCAATTTTTTTTTTGTTATAAAACATTATCCCTGGCGTAAACTTAAACTAAACTGCTTTCCCTTTTACTTTTAATTTTAATAACTTAAGTCTAGTACTAGTAGTACAGACCTGTTTACTATTACAATTTTGGCATACAATTCATGACAATTGTACCACTTTAGATGTCTTTTACTAATTTAGTAATAACTATGCCTGCCAAGACCTGACAGATCTACGATTTTAAGAGACCAGGATGAAAATATGTTCATTCCGGTAGTTTTTTTCCCCAATATAAAAATTAAAATAAAAAGTAAATTTTAAGTTTTTAGTTTTAATTTGCATTCTACGTTTAGCAGTGAATAGATAGAGAAATGTTATTGGCTGTTGACCATCTATATTACGTTTGCCCCGAGTGCTGAGAGGGTAATGGAGTGGTGTTTATTTAGGAGATTTTGTGTGTGGGGTGTATAAATATTTTAGTCCGTAATTAACACCACCACATTTTGGAAATAATAGTGGTGATGGTCATATTGATCCTTTGTAGTATTAGCGTAGTGGCCGTGGCAATCCATTAGTACCTACACAGTGAGGGGGAAGAGAGGGTTGTATATTTTTTAGATTTTCCATAAATGCGTGTATAACCGGAGGAGGGGGGGTCTCGACAGAAAGTACATTAAAAAAATTCTGCAATATCATCCTGAAATTCCACAAATAGCATATTTCTATCAAGAATGCTGTAAAAATATCATGCAATGTTTTGTATGAAGTATATTCATAATGTTGCCATGTATTTCAAAAATAGATAGTACTCAGTAGTAGAGGTATTACAGTAATATTTAGTCCACCTTATATTCAATGAGCATGTGAAATATCTTTTGTAAAGCCGGTGCTTATAATATGTTTGTTTCCCGGCGCCAAAGCCAAATTTAGGTTTTCACCAGGCTCCCTGTGTTAAAGTCTAACAAGTACACTTCGAAATAGCGAATACATAAACAAAATAAAATAAAGGGTTCACTAAACGACATATAAGTAACTCTAGTTACTTTAGTGTGTTACTTGGGGAGAAAATTTGACTCCTCGCGTTTGTTTGCTTTGGTGCTGTATGACATAATTTTATGACATAATTATTTCTTACGGCTGAACCCTGGCGAGTCCATAAACAGAGAACTTTAGAGAATGATTTGTCAACTGTTCTATACAGCTACATTAGATTTCGACTTTTATTATAGGATCTGAAAGGACTGTTGAAATCTATTTAAGGACACGCAAAACAGCATTATGATTTTTAATAACCTCCCTCTTCCTTTCACCCATTTTCAGCTTGGGATAGTTATCAGACTGTAATATTTTAATGGGCATAATAGTTATTGATTCTTCTTTTTTTTTAAACAGCTTTTTCTAAAAAATAAATCTCAAGTTAATTGGTAGATTTTTTAAATGGTGGCCTTTTATGTTCGTCAATTATTCTTTTAATAAATTTTATTTCATGCCGATCTGACTTCAAGATTGAACCACTTTGAATTTCACCATTAACTTTATTTATAACTGTGACAGACTGGGATAATGTGATCTGCACGTTCACCTAAAAATATTAATTGATTTGATATCTATAGCAGATACACGTCTGAAAAACAAAGTGACAGCAGAGAGGGATATAAACGTCAGTAAACCTTTTTTTTACATCAGCTTAGATCGATCCCACTCGACGCGAGTAGTTTAACATTATATATACTGTATTTTATTTAGTATTAAGATAGGTACTGAATTGTACGATTTTGAGACAATATTGTATGAATTTAGGAGCTCGAGAGTAAACTGGTCTGCTTTTAGTAGTTAGTAGTAGTAGGCAGAAGTAGTAGAAGTGAAATGATTTTAATTAGTAATTTAATAAGTCTAATGATAAACTCTGATACTCAGTCATTGATAGTATTTTTAAAGTTTAGTGTAACTGTAGCCTATTACTATTAGTACTACTAGTAGATTAATTTAAGTATCATTTTATGATTTCATGACTTCAAATTAGAAAATTAAATGCAATCTAAAATTTATAGCCTACAGGCTATAGCAGTGTAGGCATAGGACTAAGTATTTAAATAAACCTCTGATTGGCTTTTATTCAGTAAAATATTACATGTCTTATCAAATTGAAAATAGCCCAAAAGATACTGCTAGGTATTTTATTTTAAAATGTTTTATATTACATCTTTTGTTTAAAGTTGAAGAGATTTGCTTCTTTTCATTTTTATAACTCTAAGAATCAAGGCAACTGTATACAGACAGAAGTGGCTAAGGAAACAACTAAAAAGTGAAATACAAATCACCAGCACAATGGGTATCAAAGGATTCACAAGCAATTATAAGAAGGATGTAAGTGTGCATGCACATCAAACTTAATATATAACCCAAACATATTCCAAGTAATATAAATATATTGCGTATATATTTGTATATTTCTGTCCTTGTTGCTTTGAGACACATAATTTCTTGACTATCTATATCTCTAAACAGTTTATGTCTACACAAGATCAATTAGTGCTGCTATGGCACTGCTACAAGTAAGCATTAGGGAATAATCTCCCCTTTGCTTGGAGATTTTAATCTCCTCTCACAATGGTTAATCCCTGGGCCGGATCTCAAAAAATTATATTATTAATAATTTTCAATTGAATATACTCTCATTTATTTTTTAAACATAAGCACATAATACAATATTTAAAATCTTAGAACCACATTATATTTTTATTTCAAAACTATACTACTAAACACTACTTATGAAATTGCATAACATCAACACCTACAAAAATTGAATTTCTACACGTCATCTTAAATACCTACTTGAATTTCTCCCTTCTTTTGTCCAAATGGCATATTCTATAAAAAAAAAAAAACAGCTACCAAAAATAAATTTAGATCAAGTCTCAACTGACATTTTTATGACTTTTTCAAAATAATGCTGAAAATGTGTAAATATTTGGTTGTTATTTATTCTGTATTTATGGTAGCAGGTCACTTCATTGTCAATAATTTTATCGACAGAAACTTCATCGATGCCATTTCATCCACAACAACATTTTAACAGACACTTCATCGATAAAACATTTAGTTGATTAGTTGATGAAGTGTCATGAAACTGTATATGTGGCCTTTGAATGCTGCACCTTCCGCCGTGGTCTTATAGGAAATCCGGCCCTGGTTTACCTGCGTTATAAATCAAAAATATGTATTTATTGACACATTTTTTAATAATTTTGCTAACTTTTGACATTCCTAATGTATATTTCTTCCAGATCTTCCACCACCCATGTGAATCCCCATGTAGCCTTTACTTTTCTGTTTAAAATCATAAATCACTAATTGACTATTTAAAAACAGATTCAAAAGGTTTAAATACCAATATGTGATATTATATGATGAAAAAACAATTCATTACATTTTTACCCGGTATTGAGAATGTGTTATCTAATTTTTTTAAATCTGGCATCGGACATTCGCTGTTCATATGGTAATAGGAAATATATTTGTTATAATTTTTTTTAAAAACACACTTTTTAAAAATAAAAGATGTCTTTTTAAAATATGAAGTTAATAAATTGTCAATGCCGGTACTGTTTAAAAAGATATATATTAATCCCTGAGTTGGGCTTAAAACAATATGTGGATTTGAGGGTTAAATGTGCTGTGTTCTAGAATTTTCATTTTAAAAAAAAAAGTAGATGACTTTAAGCTTTAAGAAAATAGTTTGCATATCTTCAATAAATATAATAAAATAACTCAATAAGAAAATTTTATTACAATAAAGCTTTAGAGCTTGTAATGTCCTGTCTTTGCAAATTGATGAATCTTTGCTTTAATTTTCTAATGTTTACGTGCTATACATATTTATAAACAGGTTTAATATGATGATCTGAGAGGCAAGTGATTTAGTTAGTCAGTGAAGTATCCCCTTGAAACCCATGCACAGTAACATCGCAAAACCCTCTGAAACATAGGAGCCAGAATGATCAATTCATTGATCATTGGGATTGATCATTGGGCCCTCAAAATAAAGAAGAAGAAGAAGAAACTGTCCATTTCTGTGTGCAATTTTTGTGGCGATGTACATTGCCATATTCAAAACTTTCTGTTGCTCTCATTTCTTTAAACATCAAGGTAACATTAATGTGTTGGTTGCACAGATTTTTCCCATCTATGAGGTTCATTGTAAAGCTTAGCACAAATAAATCTCTTATTCTTTCAGTTCAAAAGTCGCAAGTCAAACAGATGGCAAAGAATATGTAAAGCAGAGAAGAAGAAAGTTTTACCGAAGGAAACTATAGAGGTGGAAAATGTCCATTTGTTCAGCAATGAGAAATTGAAAAACAAATTGTAAGTTGAGAATATGTTTTTTTTTTAAAAATCAGTTTTATTACCAGTAGTAGCTTTGCAGCATGCATCTCTACAAGCATGGCTGGAAATTAACCTAAAACCAAAATACATGACTATGGTGAGAGAAAAACAGACAGATGAAACCATTAAACCCAGAAACCCCTCTTTAGAAAAAGTAAATCAATTCAAATATCTAGGATCTTTATTAAATAATTTAAATGCAAAAAAAAATGAACTACTAACAGAAATTTAAGAAAGAATATCGGCTGGAAACAAGGCATATACGTCAGTAGTCCAAAGATACTCAAAATTAAAAACATTACAAGTAAAACAAAGAAAACTATATATAAAACTGTAACCAGACCAGTTCTAACATATGCAAGTAAAACATGGACCCTAACAAAAATGGCAGAAAACCCATTAAACACATTGGAGAGAAAAGTTCTCCAGAAAATGTATGGACCAACAAAGGATGAATATTGATGGAGAATACGAACCAGGCAGGAATTGTATAGTCTATATCAGGATCTCATGCTAGTAGCATAAATAAAAAATAGCAGGGGGACACATACACACGCACTTAGAAAGAATGACAGTAGAGTGAAGAGTGTGTACCACCAAAACCCCAAAGGAAAACCGCTCAAAGGCAGACCTAAGCTTAGATGGATAGATGATGTGGAAAAAGATCTACAACAGCTTGGAAACATAGCATGGAAAAGAAAAGCACCAGTTAGGTCTGAGTGGAAGGAAGTGGTGAGGTAGGCTAAAGCCCTACATGGGCTGTAGCGGCACAGGGATGGGTGGATGTAGCTCTGCAGCTTATTGTTCTCATGCTCATGTAAACTTAAGTCTTACAGTTACAGTATAGATCATTTCTTTTTAAAAGTATTTGTTGTAATGATAAATAGTTTTACGTATAGTGTTCCATTAGTGTTTATTTATATAGCCTTCAATCCTACAATTTTGCAGGAGGAACCCAAAGAACAACATAAAGATATCTGGCAAAAAGTTTCGCAGACTCACAAAAAGGTTGGGCCACAGTCTCCGGGCAAAATCACAAATGGATGGTAATTTTTAATTTTTTTTATGCTTTCATTACTAGCTTCATTTGTTTTCTTACAGCTTAGCCTTGGCTATCCTGATTTTTTTAATTCAAAATAGATCCTCCAAAGTGTCTGGTGCTGCAATGATTTTTTGTAAATTTTATAATTGCTGAAATTTTTACAGAAATTAACGCAAACCTCTTAAAATGTGTATATCATTAAATGTTACGGATTATTTAACATGTACATTCTCATTAATTTCTTTTTAATCTGTGTTAGTTTGTTGTTTTTTTAAATTTATATATCCAGTATTGCATTGATTTAATTCTTGTCATTTTTCTCTGTACAACAATGATCTAGTTGAAGTAGCAGATGCCAAATCTACCAAACTGACAGCAAAGATTGAGGATGCAGAGATGGTAGAGTTAGCTTCAAGTGAGCAATCAGCCAACAAAACTGCACCCGACAATCATGCACCTTCCATGTCATCTTCATCGTCAAAGAAGAAAAAGAGGGGAGGTAAGAAGCACAAGAAGAAAGTCTCTGCTCCCAGTGGAGACAAAAGTGGACCGTTGTTTGATCAAGATGGCGGTTGGGAGGATGTAGACATGGCAGAATGATATCTTGACTAATAAAATGAAACACATATATTTCTTGTTATGTTGTCTGCGTCTTATGTACTACATCTTGATTAGTTAAATTATATGTGCTACTCAAGCTGTGCATTTTGGATTTGAAATTACACCCGTTTGTAAATTAGGCATTTGTGTAATCCTACCGCCTACTTGCAAGCAATCCAATCAGTTTACTAAACTCAACATTGGCAACTTTATATTGTAGCTTAATTTGAGTTCTTCTGCAACATCTAGGTTTTTTTTAAAGTCTGTAGGGAACAAGAGTTGTCAAACCTGACCAAGTCAATGATTTAAAACGCTGTTTCCTTTTCCCCTTTGTAACCATCAGTGAAGAATATGCCATTGGTAATATCTTTCTATGTCTTCCAGACTCTTGCAATATTCTCCAACTCTTTGCTTATCTACTTCCCTATTATATTTACAGTGGTAAAAAAAAAACTATTTAAAGGAAATTTTAAAACTTTATTGATAAATAAATAAATTTGATTAAAATGGACTTTTTGGATGCTTAAAGTTAACAAAGACCAATACTAATGATTTCAACAAAAGAATAATATTTCATTTGATTATATCCATGTTATAATTTTGTTTATAAGCTGGGTGTTACTTTCTATTTGTTAGCAAATGAGGCTCAGCATAAAAATGAAAACACTTTCGATGTTCGATGATTTGGGTCACATGCCGGTATTTAAAGCCACCATGTGTCACGTCCTGTGCAGGTGACTCTTCATCTTAGGCCCATCGGTGATTTGACATTGATGAAATCTATAGCCCCTCTTGATTCAATTTTTAAAAAAGTAATTAAAAACCATGCCAAACAACATTGTTCCATAACAGATGATTTGCAACATAGGGTGAATTTAATTTACAATTCCACCAAGAATTTAATGCTCCTGTGACAAGATTTGCCTGAACATTATAAACATGCACCGGGTACAATTTTATTATTACTATAGATTTTTTTTATAAATTGAAATAAAAATAAAACATATTGTGCTGAGATAGACTTTCCATCAAATGTAAAAATAAATAAAGCCATTGTTTTAAAAATTGAAAAATATGCAAATACAAAAATATATGTTATGTTAAAATTTACTAGCATTAATATTTCCTTGTTTTTAAAAATATTAAGCATAATACACAAAAATGTATTAAGGCTTCATATTTTTTTTTTAAATAAAAAAAAAAATATTTGCATATTTTTTAAAAAGTTAAAAAATAAGCAAATACAAAAATATATGTTATGTTAAAATTTACTAGCCATATATTTCCTTGCATTTAAAAATATTAAGTATAATAAAAAATAATGTGCTATTACACCTAATAAGAGCTTTTTTTACATAGATTAAAATACTGGCACTAATTAAAGAAACATTTGATTGTTGAAGCTAGGGGTTTTCATGTGCACTTAGTTAAGGACATAATATATCTCAATTACAGTTAAAATGAAAGTGAAGATCAGGACAACTGTCACATTTATTGATACAGGATTATCTCATTCATAGTTTGTAAATCATGAATTCCATCTGTCACATAAAAGAAGGTTCAGAGTTTTGTCAGGCTGATATCGTGCCATTACGTGCCAGGTGAGTTGTCAACATTCATTCATGCATCACTTTTTGTTGGGGCGTGTTGTTGTCCGTCTGACCAAGCTCTCAGCCTCTCTGTACAGTTGTTCTAGATCCTATTGGAGACAAGGTTAGAAATGTGTACCTTAAATGTCTGTTTATAATAATTTCTAATAGAATTTAAGTAATCTCAAGAACATGCTATTTCCTCTGACACCCCTATTTAAAATCATTAGCACGACTACTAATAAACCTGAGGGCATACATAAAATACCAATCCATGCGGCACACACATAGTTTACAGATTTTCTCACATTCAAGATGAATATCAAATTCTTATAAAAATCTGTGAAATTCAGTTTTATTTTATTTATTCCACCCCCCGAGACTTTTAAAAATATTCTCCATAAATAGTGCTAACATAGGTCCACCCACCTAATGGACCCGCACCCACCTAATGGACCCACACCCACATTGACACACATCCACAAATGTACCCGACCCACCCAATGGACCACCAACCATCTGGGAGCACACATTTATATACGGTACTGCAAATCAGTCCTACATTTTTTTTCCACACAAGTCTTAAATGAAGTCATTCTCAGACATTCTGAGAAATTTTAATTTGGCTATGTTAGAACCCTTGTCAAATGTTTGATTGAATGTGTGTACCCCAGCCCATTGCTCTTTAAAAAGGGATGCAAGCCTAACACAAAATTTAAAAAAGAACAGACCTCCTCTGTGTATAACTTCTGAACATCAGGATGAACATCAACAGTCTTCTCGACCTTAATTCGTCCAAGATGGCTTCTGTATGTCTGCTTGGAATGTCCAGACAAAAAAAAAAAAAAAAAAAAAAATCATGTAAAAAGAAAAAAAAAAAAAAGAAAAAATACCCCAGCCCATTGCTCTTTAAAAAGGGATGCAAGCCTAACAAAAAAATTAAAAAAAAACCGACCTCCTCTGTGTATAACTTCTGAAAATCAGGATGAACATCAACAGTCTTCTCGACCTTAATTCGTCCAAGATGGCTTCTGTATGTCTGCTTGGAATGTCCAGACAAAAAAAAAAAAAAAGACAGCAATCGTGTTAAAGGATGAAATAACCATAGTAAGACTGACAGCAATCATGTTAAAGGATGAAAATATCATAGTAAGACAAAGAGCAATCATGTTATGTTATCATAGTATGACAGACAATAATCGTGTTAAAGGATGAAATAACCATAGTTAGTAAGACAGACAGCAATCATGTCAATACCGTAATCATGGTGTGCAAAAATCACAATATTTATGGTACTAGTTTAATAGTGGCAAGACAGTACAATTGTGAAGAGTGAATTATTATTTTTTTTATAATCTTTTTTGTTTTAGCCATTCTATATGTGGAATCTGAGGGTTGTTAAGTCTAGTATGTCTATTAAATGTTTCGGTTGTTGTTTTACTGGCGTGTCTAACACGAGGAATCGTATCAAAACACGTCAGTACTTTATTAGCTACTGTGCAAACTTTATGAACGCTTGTTAGTTTTGTGTGCAGGTTCCATAACTCACAGGTACATCATCACTTCCTTCCCCTGAATCACTTCCTTTACTTTGGCCATCACTCTCCTTATCAGCCCGGCGGCCATGTTGTCGGTCACGCCTCTTCACTTCACTCTCGTCTCTGTTTAAGATTTCCATCTGTGTCTCAATGTCCTAACGTATGTTATAGCATTATTATACAAGTGTATATATTATGGCATTATCATAATAATAATAAAGTTTATTTCAAAAACACACTTCATCCCCAAAGGCTCGAATCGCCAAGTGTATAATATTATAGCATTATTCTACCAGTGTATGTTATGGCATTATTTTACAAGTGTATATTATAGCATTATCATACAAGTGTATAATATTATAGCGTTATTTCTAGCAGTATATGTTAAAGCATTATTATTAAATACACGTGTAGGCCAACAGTTTCTCTGTACCGAGCCTGGCACAGTTCAGTGACAAGGGATCTAGTAAATGAACGAACACTAACATATTTATTGTTTAGAACGAACTGGGGAGCATCTGAGTTACCATCCCATGACTAAACATCTGAGTTACCATCCAAAGACTTAACATCTAAGTTACCATCCCATGACTAAACATCTGAGTTACCATCCAAAGACTTAACATCTAAGTTACCATCCCATGAATAAACATCTGAGTGACCATCCCATGACAAAACATCTGAGTTACCATCCCATGACTAAACATCTGAGTTACCATCCCATGACTGAACGTTTGAGTACTATCCCATGACTAAAATCTGAGTTATCATCCAATTACTAAATATCTGAGTTACCATCCCATGACTAAACATCTGAGTTACCATCCCATGACTTAACATTTGAGTTACCATCCCATGACTAAACATTTGAGTACCATCCCATGACTAAACATTTGAGTATCATCCCATGACTAAACATTTGAGTATCATCCCATGACTAAACATTTGAGTATCATCCCATGACTAAACATCTGAGTTACCATCCCATGACTAAACATTTGAGTACCATCCCATGACTAAACATCTGAGTTACCATCCCATGACTAAACATTTGAGTACCATCCCATGACTAAACATTTGAGTATCATCCCATGACTAAACATCTGAGTTACCGTCCCATGACTAAACATTTGAGTATCATCCCATGACTAAACATTTGAGTATCATCCCATGACTAAACATCTGAGTTACCGTCCCATGACTAAACATTTGAGTTACCGTCCCATGACTAAACATCTGAGTTACCATCCCATGACTAAACATTTGAGTATCATCCCATGACTAAACATCTGAGTTATCATCCCATTACTAAATATCTGAGTTACCGTCCCATTACTAAATATCTGAGTTATCATCCCATGACTAAACATTTGAGTTACCATCCCATGACTTAACATTTGAGTTATCATCCCATTACTAAATATCTGAGTTACCATCCCATGACTAAACATTTGACTATCATCCCATGACTAAACATTTGAGTTACCATCCAATGACTAAACATTTGAGTACCATCCCATGACTTAACATCTGAGTTATCATCCCATTACTAAATATCTGAGTTACCGTCCCATTACTAAATATCTGAGTTATCATCCCATGACTAAACATTTGAGTTACCATCCCATGACTTAACATTTGAGTTATCATCCCATTACTAAATATCTGAGTTACCATCCCATGACTAAACATTTGAGTATCATCCCATGACTAAACATTTGAGTTACCATCCAATGACTAAACATTTGAGTACCATCCGATGACTTAACATCTGAGTTATCATCCCATTACTAAATATCTGAGTTATCATCCCATGACTAAACATTTGAGTTACCATCCCATGACTTAACATTTGAGTTATCATCCCATTACTAAATATCTGAGTTACCGTCCCATGACTAAACATTTGAGTTACCATCCCATGACTAAACATCTGAGTTATCATCCCATTACTAAATATCTGAGTTACCATCCCATGACTAAACATTTGAGTTACCATCCCATGACTAAGCATTTGAGTTACCATCCCATGACTAAACATCTGAGTTATCATCCCATTACTAAATATCTGAGTTATCATCCCATGACTAAACATTTGAGTTACCATCCCATGACTTAACATTTGAGTTATCATCCCATTACTAAATATCTGAGTTACCGTCCCATGACTAAACATTTGAGTTACCATTCCATGACTTAACATTTGAGTTATCATCCCATTACTAAATATCTGAGTTACCATCCCATGACTAAACATTTGAGTTACCATCCCATGACTAAACATCTGAGTTATCATCCCATTACTAAATATCTGAGTTATCATCCCATGACTAAACATTTGAGTTACCATCCCATGACTTAAAATTTGAGTTATCATCCCATTACTAAATATCTGAGTTACCGTCCCATGACTAAACATTTGAGTTACCATCCCATGACTAAACATTTGAGTTACCGTCCCATGACTAAACATCTGAGTTACCGTCCTCACATTTGGTTTAAACAGAGACTCGTGTTTCTTGGCTTTCCTTCTCTCAAACCTCCTCTCCGCTGCACTCTGTTGATATAGAGATTTGATATGTACGTATGTTTTTGAATATCAATTGATAAAGACATACGTTTTTTAAAAAATATTAATTTTACCGATTTATTATCGACCTCACACTTGCAGTCTCACACACAGTAAGCTTACCTTCCCAGCAATAACAGCTGCTGGTGGGCCTATACAGCAAACTATCTTCCCAAAATTAATAGCTTTACACCTAACTGTCTCACAACATAACAGCTATACACCTAACTCTCTCACAACATACCAGCTATGCACCCAGCTGTCTCACAACATAACAGCTATGCACCCAGCTGTCTCACAACATAACAGATATGCACCCAACTGTCTCACAACATAACAGCTATGCACCTAACTGTCTGACAACAGAACAGCTATGCACCCAGCTGTCTGACAACATAACAGCTATGCACCCAGCTGTCTCACAACATAACAGCTATGCACCTAACTGTCTCACAACATAACAGATATGCACCTAACTGTCTGACAACTTAACAGCTATGCACCTAACTGTCTCACAACATAATAGCTATGCACCCAGCTGTGTCACAACATAATAGCTTTGCACCTAAATGTCTTACAACTTAACAGCTATGCACCTAACTGTCTCACAACATAACAGCTATGCACCCAGCTGTCTCACAACATAACAGCTATGCACCCAGCTGTCTCACAACATAACAGATATGCACCCAACTGTCTCACAACATAACAGCTATGCACCTAACTGTCTCACAACATAACTGCTATGCACCTAACTGTCTCACAACATAACTGCTATGCACCTAACTGTCTCACAACATAACAGCTATGCACCTAACTGTCTCACAACATAACAGCTATGCACCTAACTGACAACATAACAGTTATGCACCTAACTGTCTCACAACATAACAGCTATGCACCTAACTGTCTCACAACATAACAGCTATACACCAATCTATGCTTCCCAACACTAGCACACCTGTCTTTGTCTTTCTTTTCTGCCAGTGCCCTCCCGGTCGTCTCGTATGACCCCTTGTATTTTGAGTTTGAGAACCCTCTGAGTCTCCGCCTCTGCCAGTCTTCGTTCTCGTTCGTCTTGCTTTCTCTGTGAAGATATTGAAGTATAGGGCGGGTATCTTGGGAGTGGTCTACTGATTATGAACGTTGTTTAAGGGATGAATTATAACATTTATTTATATAAGATATAGAGCAGGGGTCTCAACATGTGGGTCGCGACCCCTTTGGTGGGTCGAACCACCCTTACACAGGGGTCGCCTAAGACCATCGTAAAACACATATTTATAAAGTAACAACTAAAATAATTTTATGGTTTGGGGGGGGGGGTGTCCCCACCACAACATGAGGAACTGTATTAAAGGCATTAGCAAGGTTGAGAACCACTGATATAGAGCAAGAACATACGTATATTGTGTGGTAAGAGATATGGAGGTCTAGAGTCCTTCAATTAAACGTAATGTGTACTTTCCTACCTCTAGGTCTTCCAAGACCTTCTGTCTGAATGCGTCATTCCATTTCCTGTCATTGAACGGAGCCTTTTCGTTTCCCATGATATCCTCGAGCCAAAGTCGAAACTTGCTTCTGTTACAGCTGTCAATCAGAGAAACAGTTCCATCATTTAGACACCAACTCGGACAATCTCGCAGTAATGGTGTAACTGTAGTATATTAAATTGAATCAATTGATGATCTCTCCCCCTCCCTCTCCCCCTCTCTCCATATATCAATTTCTCTACCTCTCTTACTCTCTTTTTCTCTCTCTCTCTCTCTCTCCTCTCTATCTCTTTAATTCTCTCTCCGTCATTATCTCCCTATTTCTCACTCTCTTTCACACACACACTCTCTCTCTATCACTCTACCTATCTCTTTCTTTATCTTGCTATCTCTCTCACTCTCTCTCACTATATCTCTCTCTATCTCTCTGTCTGCCTCACTCTCTCTCTCCCTCTTGTTTTTTGTGCGGATTTTTTTAATACATACACGTTTGGTCTAAGTAACTATTTGTTTTCTTTTCTAGATTCAACCAATCAGATACGACACCTAGATCTCTAAATCCAACCACTCAGATATTTTTCTTGGATGCATTAATGGTAGGGTTTCTCTCCCGGGATCGGATGCACGATTTTTAGTAACCAAAAACTTCCCTGGAAATTTTCCCATCTCAGGAAATTCCGGGTACATCTTTAAGAATTCAATCTTCTTTCTTTAAAAATAAATAAATCAGAAAGTCACAATTTATCACTCAAAGGCAGGACCTGTAAAATCTATTTGAGTGCGTTGAATTATTAAGCTGAGTAACTCTAGTGCACATGTTCTTAAGCGTTTTCAAGTCACGACCACATTTATCAATCGGCTAAGTTATCCATACGGCGATAAATTGGGGGATGGGGGTGGCTTTTAAAAGGGGGAAAATTCTCGGCAATAAAAACAATAAAATTAGATTTTTTTTTTTGCCCAGTTTTGGAAGTAAAGACATATTTAATGCCATGATTGAAATTGTAACTCATTATTCAAGACATAAATTTAAAAAAAAAAAAAAAAAAAAAATTTAATTTTTTTTTTTGCCCAGTTTTGGAAGTAAAGACATATTTAATGCCATGATTGAAATTGTAACTCATTATTCAAAACATAAATTTAAAAAAAAAAAAAAAAAAAAACAGTATTAAAAATTTGATATTTCTTTTGATTTTTCTTTTATTATATTGTTTTACCCTGCGACCCAACAGAAATACTTTCGCAACATCATTTGACGTCACATCCCATGGACTGGGAACTTGTGCTCTGGGAACTTATTATACCAAGCGGTTTATGTGCCAAGCTACCTTAAAATTAATGCATTGTCTTTTTTTAATTGTTTTTTTTTTACAAAACCAACTTATTTAGACATACACATGATAGATGATTTAACATTTGAAACTGTTTTTATTCGAAAATGAAATACAAGAACAAGGTATGCTAAACTTGAATTCATTGAAAGGACAAAAGATTTTGAAGTTTCGGCTTAGAGCCTTCACCAGAAAACGAGAAAAAAAAAAGTATAACAAAAATCAGACCACAGTCAAAAAAAAAAAAAAAAAAACTTTAGAGATTCCCTTTTTGTTGCCAGAAGAATGCTGTCCATCAATTATTATCTTTTATTCGAAACAGCGCCTTGCTACAAGTTGCTAGAGACATTGGCTTGAGAATAGATCGTGGCCGACTTAAAACTATACTTTGCGACACATAACGAATGAAAAACACAAATAAAGTGTCAAGTTGTTGTTTTTTTCTCGACGGGCGGTCATATCCTAATTTCGCATGACAAGCATATTATTAGCCAGTTACTATTACTAGGACTTATTAGGGGTAAATGAAGAGACTAGTAGCATTAACATAGTTTCCCATTCTTTGAAAGGCAACAGCAACTAAGCAATAATAAAAACAAACTCTTTCATAGTTAAATTTAGTTTATAATATATATTAAACTGAATCTGTTATCCCGGGATTTCCCACGAGTTCCCGGGATCCCACGATGGGAATTTCTTATATGCCGTTTTCCCAGGAAATGCCATTAAAAAAAAAAAAATGGAGATAAGAAACCTTTATCATCAATGAGGAGGTTGGCCCAGATGAGCACTTCAAAACAAGCATTCAGAAATAGAGAGGAGTTCGTAACATTCTTTATAATATACGGACCACGGCTTCTCTCCCGGGATCCCGTACGATTTTTAGTAAACAAAATTTTACAATACAATTTTCATGTTTCACCACTTAGAGCAAATGAGATTGCATACCTACTCATCTAGATCCAACCAATCAGATAACATACCTACATATCTAGATCCAACCAATCAGATACCATACCTACATATCTAGATCCAACCAATCAGACACCATACCTACATATCTAGATCCAACCGATCAGATACCATACCTACATATCTAGATCCAACCAATCAGATACCAGACCTACATATCTAGATCCAACCAATCAGATACCATACCTACATATCTAGATCCAACCAATCAGATACCATACCTACATATCTAGATCCAACCAATCAGATAACATACCTACATATCTAGATCCAACCAATCAGATACCAGACCTACATATCTAGATCCAACCAATCAGATACCAGACCTACATATCTAGATCCAACCAATCAGATAACATACCTACATATCTAGATCCAACCAATCAGATACCAGACCTTCATATCTAGATCACACCAATCAGATAACATACCTACATATCTAGATCCAACCAATCCGATAACATACCTACATATCTAGATCCAACCAATCAGATACCAGACCTACATCTCTAGCGCCAGCAAATCAGAAACAAGACCCACATTCCGTTAATTCCTAACTGCCAACGAGCATTAAATCAAACAAAACTGGAAAACAAGATTTGCCACCGGTATTTAAAATGAATTCTTTTGTTTGCAGGACGGCCTATGGGATACCGGAAGTCGTAATTGTCCTGGTTGTTTAGTTGTTTACGAGCTCATTCAAACAAATATGGTGATCCTTGTAGTATTAAAATAAAAGCACCAAAAAAAAGTTGTGCAGACACTTTTTTCTATTGTGTGTATGGGGGGGGGAGGGTGGTTGGGGGGGGGGGCTTAGAACGAGATAGGGGGCGGGGATATTCATTTGTTTTTTTGTAGTATTAAAATAAAAGCACCAAAAAAAAGTTGTGCAGACACTTTTTTCTATTGTGTGTATGGGGGGGGGAGGGTGGTTGGGGGGGGGGGCTTAGAACGAGATAGGAGTCGGTGATATTCATTTGTTTTGTCAAGATGTGATACGCCTAAAACAATTATTAAAAAAGTAACGACATACTAAGAACAATATTCCTAATTTTTAAAACAGCCTCCCCTTCCCCGGGTCAATATAAAAAGTATTGTGGGCACGTTTATGGATTGGGCACATCTATCTGGGGCATATCTATTTGAGGCACAGCTAACTAGGAAATTTATATTTTGGGCACACCTATCTGGGGCATCTCCAATTGGGATAAATTACCTGGAGCATATCCGTTTGGAATAAATTTGTCTGGGATATATTTATTTGGGACATATCTTTCTGGGACATATCCATCTAGGAAAGATTTAAATGGGCATTTCTATCTGGGAAACAACTATCTGAGAAGGAACATCTACATAGGGCATATCTGTTTGGGGCACACCTATATATCTGGGACACATCTATATTATTCTACATGGAGCATATCTGTTTGGGGCACACCTATCTGGGACACATATACATAGAGCATATCTGTTTGAGTCACACCTACCTGGGGCTCTTCTATCTTCGGCACATCTATCAGATTCCCACACGTAGAAACATATGAGGAGGAAAACGTACACACAAAGAACACGGACATACAGACAAGATAGAGCACAGACTAAACATACAGACACGATGCAGCAGAGACTACACATACAGCACAGACTACACATACAGTACAGACTTCATATCCAGCACAGACTACACATACAGACACGCTACAGCACAGACCATCAACGTCTTCAACTTCAACCGATGTTTTTATAATAAATAAATTATTCCTCCCTACTCTGTACTACCTCCTAAAAACAGATTCTCCTCTATATCTGTCCATGACCTTTTCCAGGTCAAAGTTGGCCAAAATATCCCGAATAATTTTAGCCTGCCTCGACGAAATTTCCTGCTCCACAGACTCCTGGCCAGCGAAAGTCGCCGTCTGCTGAACTTCGTCCGTTTCTGAACTAGAGTCAGTCTCATCCTCTGTATTATCATGTCCATTGCTCAACTTTTGGTCAGACTGACTTTGGCCCGAATTGCTGGTCCTGTCGTCCTGGAACGATTTATCGTCCTCTGAATTACATCCGTTTTCCTCTTTCTCACGTGAACTCCGATCTTGGCGTGAGTCGCTGCAAGTTTCCTCTGGAGACTTTGGGATTCTTTCCCCAGATTTTTTAGTTTTTGTTGACCTAGATTTTCCGTAGGTATTTCCATTTGTATATCCAGTTTTTAATCCATAGTCTTGCTCTTGATCCATTATTAAATTTAAATGAAAATAATAATAATAATAATTCCGGTAAGTAAACAAACAGCGGGTGTTTTGGTCCATTAAGAAATGTATTGAGTTATCTGTCTTGATCTCAAACAGAAGTTTATCTTTTGATATGTATATAGTTGTAGAAATTAGAAACAGTTTCCCAACAATATAACTGAATTTATTCGCTATACATTTAATTTTTACTTCTCTTTTTCCGGAATATTTTTTACTCCATTGTGGATTTTTCTCTTCACCAACGACTTGAGTTTTATCAATAAACCAAGTGCTACCCTAGACTTGAGTTTAACCAATCATTAAATTACTACCTAGACTTGAGTTTTATCAATCAACCAAGTGCTACCCTAGACTTGAGTTTAATCAATCATTAAATTACTAGCTAGACTTGAATTTTATCAATCAACAAATTACTACCTAGACTTGAGTTTTATCAATCAACAAATTACTACCTAGACTTGAGTTTTATCAATCAACAAATTACTACCTAGACTTGAGTTTTATCAATCAACAAATTACTACCTAGACTTGAGTTTTATCAATCAACAAATTACTACCTAGACTTGAGTTTTATCAATCAACAAATTACTACCTAGACTTGAGTTTTATCAATCAACAAATCGCTAACCTTAAATTACGCACTAAAACTAAAAAGTTTTAAAGTGTTACTCTGAAGCTTAGCTTTGATGCAACAAAAGATCCATCAAATGATCCATCAAATGATCCATCAAATGATCCATCAAATGATAATCAAATGAAATGAATACTTGTTCACAGCTGAGGCTTGGAACTCATCCCGTCCACAGCCATCAATCTTGTCAGTGTTCCTCTGGGGAGGAGAATGGCCACCTTTATCTTTGTCTCACAGTGTTCCTCCCGAGAGTACATGGGTATGCATTACCTCCCATTTTCTCTGTGGTATTGTTATGCTTGTGTGGCGATAATATTAATAGCCAGCTTAAAAGGCTCCATATGCCCTATTACTTTTTGCATCTACACCACACAAAATGCCCTGATTATTATACACTACACAATATGCCCTGTTTGTATATACACCACACAATATGCCCTATTGATATACACACCACACGGTATGCCCTATTTGTTACTACACCACGAACACAATGCGCCCCAATACTACCGGCACCACACACAACCGTTTCCTCAGTGGTATGCGAGTGGTGCTCATTGCCTGACATCATAAAATGAAATGAATCGAGAGTATGCATGCCTACCCTCACCCACCCCTCCCCCCACCCCACCTTCTCGGTTTACATCAACTATGCGGTACGAGGGTTCTCAAGCTTGTGTTGAAATCTGCTTCTCCTATTGTTCACCCTCAACGACTAGTGGCTGGTATTTGTATATGACTTTGGCGCAAGTAACTTTCAACATCTGAAGATGTGAAACGTTGACATAAAATAAAACTGACGTCCGTTACCATGGCACCGGACACAATATCTGTCTGACGATGATTCTACATCATAACGTTGGCATCTAATGGTTAAGTTGATCATTCTATAGAATGGTGAATATGTTGATATCCACCCTGTCTCTTGGTCCTCGGAGATTATTCCAATGCCAGCCAATATCTACCAATACATACAGTTGTTTACATGTCAAGATTTTGATGTAATTTATGTAATGATGTTTAGAGATGCTATCTGGATCACAAATCTCTTTTTAAGAAGAAAGATACAAATGTAGAGAGATAGAATGTTTGAATGGGCAGTCAGCTGCACGTCATGGACCCGCCAATCATCTGACTTGGCTAGCCATACAAATCCTGGGTCCAATGTTGTAATGTGATCGTGAGCAAGGTTAACGCCCTTGATCGTGCAGCAAGGTTAACGCCCTTGAGACTACCCGATACCATTTTGTGGCGTTTGAGTATTTTTTATATTTTTTTTAATTGTGTAGGGATTGTAAGAACAGATAGACAAGGGCCGTCTTAACACCAACGGGCGCCCCAGGTCAGGTCAAAATAATACACTGGACATGAATTCCTTTCTAATCCGTGCAAGCACTGACACAGGAAGGGGGCTGTCCACCCTGGGCAGATTTCGCGGTAAGGGGCGGGACAATATTGGCCCACCACCCCGGGGTGGAATTTACTCTAGCTTCTCCACTGTATGCGAGTAATTTGCACAAAGCATTTTGGGTCCCCTTGAGCAGCGTCCAGGTTGCCCGTGCGTTAGGAATGGACTGATAGAGACCATATAAACACTATATTTAGACGACATATCCATTACATGAAGACTACACTACAAACGGACTTCAAATACGTTAACTATAAACTACGCATAGAGGATATATACACTACTTTTAGACTATATATATATATTCGGTACATATAGTCATATACATTTCATTTACATATTATTTCATATACACTTTATTTACACTACAAATGCTTATAGACTACACGTATATATTACTTATATAGAATGATATATTTCAAGTGTGTAAATTGAGGATCTGCCACTATTTTAAAGAATGTGTGTGTTTCCTCAAACTCTGTAGCATTCAGCCAACTAGAGCTACAAGGAGCAGACAGTAATTGTAAAATCAAAAATTATTTTAAAACATAAATAAATTGATGGTTAATTTAAAAAAAAAAAATTTAAAAATAAATTAAGACCAATATTTGATTCATTGTGAAATTTTCCTTGATCTTTTTACCGAGGGTTCATCTTTTCGGTGGCATTCAGGGCCAGATTTACACATTTCTGCGCCCTAGGTCAAAGCATAAAATTCTGCCCCCTCCCCCAATATTAGTAGAATGTTTATTATAACTTCCGACTTAATATATAGTTTATACTTCTTAATTCATAGCTTACTTTTTTAAACACAAACAATATGGAAATCATAGTAATTTTTAAATTCAAATATGCATTGCCACAACATTTACACGGCATTTCAAAATAATGTAGAGATTTTTGTAAATATTTGGTTGTTATTTCTTCCATATATATATATATATATATATGCCCCTCCCCCAATATCCAACCCCCTCGCTGCTGCGCCCCTAGGTTATGGCCTTTGTTTGGAGATTCGGCCCTGGTGTCACACTGTAATTTGAAAACGAAAATCTTTAGGTAACTTCAAGACAAAAGTTCGTTGTCATGGAGACAGTCACTTGTTGCCATGGAGACAGTCACTTGTTGCCATGGAGACAGTCACTTGTCATGAAGAAAGCCACATCGAAAGTGACGAGTGTGTGTGTGTGTGCGTGTTGAATTTATTTCATAGGTCATTAGTTGACAGGCCTCATTGGACCTGCCGTAATTGACGTAAAACGATCATGTTTGTAGATCGATGGAGCAAAACTGAAAGCTGATCAAAGGCATTCTGGTCCAGGACAGTCCGAAATGTTCACCTTCACACAGGAGTTGACACGGATACAGAGGAGTTGACGTGCACACACATGAGTTGACACAGGCACACTAGAGTTGACACAGATATACTAAGTTGACACATATACACATGATTTGACACAGACCCACATAAGAGGACATAGCCTCCCCCCCCCCAATGACTTTATATACATACGCAGGGTTTGCTATACACATATGAGTTGATATGGACACATAGGAGTTGATACAAACATAGGACTAATAATTTGTTTTGGACGTAAGAGTAAAAAAATGAGAAACTATTTTTTATTTGAATAATTTTACACTATGAAGTTGGAAAAGGAAGATACCGTATTTAAAAGTGAAATTCATTTGTTTTTAAAAAAAACTTTACCGAAACAATTCTTAGCAAACATGTGATCGACCTCTGATTACGACATAGCAACATACTACATAATTAACAAGCTTACAATGTAACACGGAGAAAGGTGGATTGAATTTATTGAAAGGGAATTGAATTTTCTGTGGCTTGTTTCAACAATAGAAGAAGAGATCGTTATCTTTGTTCGGATGTCAAGTCAATACTGAATGACGTTTAAAAAAATAAATAAAAATAAGCATATGATTTAAAAAATATAGATTTTAATGGTCACCGCCCTGGAGGTAACCAGGGACGCACATTGTTTAGCGTTTATTTTCTCCTTACTTCCCGTTGTGACGGCACAAAACATTACGGTGTCGAGGGAAGTTTTAGAAGCCCGCTATTATTACCGCATCAACCGAGCGGCGGGTCGGTTGCTGAAGTATCGTGTCCCTTTGTTGAGAACAAACGTTACCTTGTGTACAGGTCAACGTTGACAACGCTGAACAACCGATACACGGTTTTAATCAGCGTTCCTCACGACACAAGTCCCACGGGGACCTGACCAATCAATATGGAGACGTGACAATAATTGTAAATGTATTAATGAGAAATTTGAGATGTCTTACAGCAGTGGTTACCAGCCTGTATTATATACTCCTAGCAACAATAGTGTAAATATAGTATACATGAAAAGCAAAAGCTGCGTCCCGTGCTGAGCCTGAATTTTGGCGCCCTCTTCCCCCAAAAAGTATATATATATATATAAATACACATGTTTTGCATGAAAATGACAATTTTGGCGCCCTGTGCGGGTGCCTCCTCCGCACGAACCTACTCCTACGCTTATAGATATGATTCGTTACAGAGAATCGCAAACTAAATGAGGTCAGATCGACTTCATATTCTTAGATGGTCCAAGCAGTTACTCAGGGAGGGGGTGTGGAGTTGTGGCACTTTTGTCTTTATATTGAGGAGTGGAATTTTCGACCAACTTCAGAGTTCTTTTCATGGAAGGAGGGCGCCAAAAATCGTGTACCACCCCGAGCGCCACTGATCCTAGCTACCTTTTACGCATTTGCCTACAAGTTATATGATCCTCCTTTTCTAGGCAATTCATATAAATATACGAATTATGTTGACCACCCTAGGTCTGCGTGTAGCTGCTTGAATCCGCCATTGGATGAGTGTGGGAGATAGACACGGGTAGGGAGGTGGCATGTAGGAAGAAGGAGACAGATTTTATGTTTTCTTTATTTTTTTTCCCCCG